ATATATATATATATATATATATAGGTTATTTAAGCTGTAATTAATATAACTAACGTCAGTTTATAAGAAATTTAATGTTTAATAACTTAATTTTTAATAGTCAAGTATATTATATTTTAAATAATTTGTACCCTTAATACATTTCGAGTCACGTATTTTCAACGAAAGCTCGTACAAACGGCAGCATTACTTTGTTCATATTATTTTTTAATCTTTATTTTAGATTAAGCAAAGAGTGCTTATTTTGTTTATGTCTCGATTTAAAGTGATAAATTATTATTAACGGTCGGTCGTAGAGTGAATTTTTTTTTTCACGTTATTAATATCCATGTGTATTTAATTTACTTGACGCCTAAGGAATTCATTTAGAATACCATGAAGGTATGCTTAGAGAGATGTTTTTAAATACTTAAATATTGTATCAAAAAATTATTAAAAATTTCTTTTGTAAACCTCAATTTAAACGATTAATTAGTTAATTGTATTCAGAAATGTCGAATTTATTGTACTGTTATAAGAATTTTAAGTCATGTACTTTTAAATCAAAAACATTCCGATTAATAGCTTCTAAAAACGCTTCGTGTGTAAAATAAGAAATTTTACGAACTGTATTTATGACATGCATGTATACTTGGTCTAATATTTTTATTAAAAATTCCTTGATTCTTCTCTTTAAAAAGTGCCCACTATCTCAAAACATTTTTTCTATTGTGTGAAACGTCAAGGATTTGAAAAAAGAGGGTTTACTAAGGTCATATCATTACCGATTGTGAAAATAAAAACTTATATGATATATTATTATTAATATTCTTGAAAAATAAATTTTTTCTACAAAATAAGAAAAAATTTTTATTATTTACAACATTATCATAAGAGTTTGTTATATTCTGATTTTGAGTATTGTCTCCTCAAATAATGGCAATCCAAAGTTATAAACCTAGAATGTCATAATTTAAGAAGTGCTTTAATTTGTAGTACATATAATTTTACTTACAATTACCTGTATAATAGCTGTACAAGTGGTACGGTAGAAGCGTGCCACAACGAATGTGCATCAAAGATCCAGAATATTGGTGGAAAATCCGCAATTTCTAATAACGTCACTGATACCGTTAAAACAGTAAACCAGCCAACTAGGTGTATGTGAGGTAGCTCTTTGTAACTTGTATACCACCAAATAATGGTAATGATAAACGTCGCAAATCCTTAAAAATGAAAATACTTATACGTTTGAAGATCCTCGAAATTCTTTCGTTTTATATTTGTTTGAATTACCAACTACAATGTTAAATGTCATGTTGTAGCCATAATTGATGCTTCCAGACCATAGATGAGTCAAGTGAGTATATAGAGTTGCTAAATAAATACAAGTTATGACTAGAAAGGTTTTTTTCACCGTCTCGTTTTTACAGGTCAACCTGGTAAATGAAATAAAATGATATTATAAAAAATTAACCATGTTATCTTACTAACGCCGCAGATGAAAAGCATTAGGTATTATTAGTGTATATTCCAACTGAAAAGATTATGCTCTACAATTTCAATGCAAAAACATTTATTACAATTGAAGAAATATAAAAGAAAAATTTTAAATACATTAGTTTGCACACGAAATGCATTCACTCATGATGTTTTAAAAAGTAATGTTTTTCACCTGTGACGATATATTAAAATGAGAATATCATATAAAACTACCTTAACAATAAACAATACAACAAAGTAAGAACAATAGTAAATGCACAGGAATAGTCCATAACTTCTGTAAAATCTTTATCTCTAGCATGAAAAATTGTTGACCAGAACCAGCCATGTAAACAAATCTGTAACAATTACAATAAACAATTCATTTTGACGGTAAACCATGAGAAATAAAAAAAAATAAAAGAATCAAACTCACAATTGTAAACCATGTCCAAACAAAGAACATGGGAAAAGTAGACTTTACATCACTTTGATATTTCAAATAGCAAGTGGCATGGGCATACAAATTTAAAATTGAAAACAGCACCGAGGCAGGCTCTTGCAGTCCGAGAAATCTTATAAACGGCCACTGATAAATTGAAAAAAAAACCATAAAACAAAGAATTATTGAAAACTATCAAAATTTATTGTAAAATAATAAAACCATACTTTTCCATGAAATTGAGGTACAGAAAGACCCTTGGAAGTAAAGAAATCGACTGTCTGCCACATGCAAGAGTAGCTGCAATCCTCTTTGCATGTCCATTGAAGTATTTGCAAGTCCAACGATGGATTTTCTTTGAAATCCACTCCTAAAAATAAATAACCGTAACATCTCTCATAAAGATGATTTTAAGGTTAATCGTGTGTGTGTTTTACCATTTTCACAGTTTTCGTCAGTACACTTGTGAATACAACGGCTATAAAATAGAGATCTGTCACCTATGGACGCTTTTGTAATTGTAAATAAACTCAGAACAGCTAAAATTAACACACATATTTTTAACATATTTACTAATGTTTACTGTAGTACTGAAACATAAAACATAACAGATCCGAGCACAGAGATTCAGAGTTCAGAAATCTCAAAATATCAATATGCCATTTGTTTGTGCTTCATCCCTCGCCGTTAACTTAAATCCACGATGCAGCAGATATCGGCAGATGCACGAATCACGACACAAGTCAAGTACTTACTTATTTTCTCGACAAAAAATTTTTCTATTCAGTAGGGTATAAGTATATAGATATATTGAAATTCAGGTAGCCAAAGCCGATATAGCGATCAGATACCTAATCAAATTCTTATTCTAAATGAGTTTTTTTATTGACTTCGGTAATATTGTTGGGTATGCCAAACGATACTTGTATTGTAATTTGATTATTTAAAGAACAAATTTTGCATTGCTACAGTCCTGTGGAGTTGATGGAGCGCGATCCTGCAATATTAATATTGAGCGGATAAAGGAAGTTCTTATATATTCAGTATTGAACCAAATACATTGAAAAACGGAATGTGTAGGTTTCAATGATTGAGTATTACAACAGCTTTAATTTTCAAATATTTCATAGCAAATATTTATTAAATTCAAATGTACAAAGTCTCATAAACAAGTGCTACTTTTGTAATACTGCTCGAGAAATAAGTCAACAGTCTGCATCGTTACCATTAAAGTAAAAATTTATCGTTTTTGCTTGATTTGTACTTGCGAAAAAAAAAAAAAAAAAAAAATCATTTTCGCCGTTTGTACTCAGTCAAATATTTACAAATCAATTGCCTTTCATATGTTCATCCTCTTGTTTTGTTATTACAACAATTGTACACGTAACGATTGCGTCATGATTAAATTTCTAATTTTATCCTAATTTATACATTACGGGTATTAAAAGAACAGCGTAAAAACTAATATTATCTCGCCAGAAAAATAAATCTTTTGATCAAGAAGCAGCTCGATACAGGTATATGGAAAAACGTATTACAACCATGGGTGCCAGGACGGATCCATGCGACATAGATTGTCGAAGCTGCTGGCAGCGGTGACGAGCGTGCTGACTTTGCTGTCGGTGCCATCAAAGTGCGCGAGAGAATTCAGCCTCGACATGATTGCGTTGGCAGCACGCGACACCATCGTTATTGCTGTTTCACCTTTAAGATCGCACGCACCACCCGGTACGTTTGAATCCTCCTGACGCTTGCTGCGATCTAGAGTAATGTCATCGCGCAGTATTGCACGGAGAATCGTGCCGATCTTGTAATTCGGTTGTACCAGACAGCGTGCCGTTGCAATAGCACTTGCCGTCAGTGGCCCGCAAAGTCCTATAATAAATACACGTAAATTGATGGTTCTACGTCATAAAGATTATGATAACTCATTACCTGTGCTAGTTATGAACTCCAAGACATTTGGAGTCAGTCTGAAAGGTACCGGCCGGTTGGCATCTAATTCTCCGGTCGTGTCGTCAACATCAAACTTAAAGTACGCTACATTGATAAGGCCCGAGTCTTGGTGTATATACATCATATCTGGGTTCAGTCTCGTTAAGTGCAATGCATATTCGGCAAAACAGATCAATGACAATTGCAAAGTAAACTAAACAAAATTATTATTATTTAATTTGATGAGATTATAAAGATATCGTCATTAATATAATATTAAGAAAACTCATAACAAGGAAACACATCTCACCATCTTCCGGAAAGTCCAATAATCGGTAGCTGTAGGATATGTCTTGACAGCCCAGTCCTTGAGCATGGTCTTAGGAACCATGCTCGACTGCACCTCCTTGAGGATTTCTCTTAATACCTGATGACTAGCTTGATTGCCCTTGGCCTGTACCGCGGCTAATTTCTCATAGTACCTGGCTATGGGAGAGTCATGCTCGAAGCCAAGCTTAGCACAACCTTGTTTGTAGATATCGAGTAGCGAAACCGAAGCTGGATTATCTTCGACAAGGCGCATCTGAGGTGAAACGCCTACAACTCGTGGAACAGTAAAGTGCAAGAAGCGACGCGACGTTTCCTTTTGTTTGGTGAGGTAGTGGTTAAGGAAGCGGAACACTTGAAGCGCGCGTTCTTCGCGTTTTGCATCGCCAAGACCGGCATCGTTAACTACCAAGTACGGATAGAGACGGCCATTGTGGCCTCGGATACGAAGACGTCGGGCAGCTGCATTGTGACGTTGAATGACTTCAGCTCGTGGCATGAATCGCGCTATTTTTACGTAATAGTGGGAAAGCTGTAAAAGATTAATGAATCGTTAAACTTCCGTTACAAAACATCCAGAGAGTTCAGTGTGGAAAAAAAAGATACTTGCTTTTGGTATAAGGAACTCGCCAAATAATTCGACTTCGGCTGTCTTTAAACTGAAATTGCTGAGGAAACGACATTTTTCTTCGATAAGGAAGGATCTAAAAAGACAATTGATGTTTGATTTTCAAGTAAATGTATAGGCCTAATATGGACACATAACAAAATTTTACTTTGGCAACTGTTTCGTTTTTCCTTCGAGAATTTTGATCCACTTTTTGAATTTACTGATTAAATTGTGCAAAAGACGTGCGCCTGGCGTACTGAAATCAAAATCGTTCACAAACTGACTCTTCATTTTCTGAAAGTCTGGATCCTGAACTGTAGCTTGAGCTCTTCTGGCCAACGATTCATTGCCAGCAGATGCGAAATTGTTAATTATAATATTTTGAGATGACGAAATATTTTCTGTAAAAAAAAAAAATTCGTCCATTATTCGTCAAAGAAATGACTTGAACAAATGTTAGTTAATATTTACCGAACGTTGAGACGAGTTTTTTTACAAAATTAAGTGTATGCGGTGTTATTGTAGCCTCACTGACTGCACCCCGATTTTCGAAAGCTATCGCATAACACTTTGCCAAACCTTGTCGTAACTGTCTAAGAACTTCTTCGTACCACGTTTCACGGAACCATACAAGCTATTTGAAAAAAAAAAAAAAAAAAAAAAAAAAAAAAAATCGTTTGAGAAAAAAAAGTAAAAAGCTGCATACTATAATGAAATTAAAAAAAAAAAAATTTCTTACCTGGTCAACAATACCTTCGAGGCTTGACAAAATAGTCGGATGAATTTCGCGTTGCAGATGCATAATTTTAGAACACATCCACATGGGCACTGTTGCTTTCGCTTTGACTTCAGCTTGATGTGCGAGATTGGCAGATTGTCCTTGCTGTTGTTGTTGCTGCTGCTGACCACCTCTATCTCCACTCGTTGCATCTTGATCTCGGGCTGATTGAATGATCAAATCGAATGAAGATTTCGGAAAAATAAAAATACAGTTGGAGGAAAAACAAAAATGATGATTTACCAAATTCGGAACTTCGATTGTTAAATCTTTCCCTCTGTTCGATTTTCAACGTAAGATACAGCGTCCTTATGGAAAAGTAGACTGCTTGCGGGAAAGCTCGGCCAACTTGGCTGAGCATATTCAGCACAGACGTTTTCTCGAATCTAACGAGACAAGCGAGAAGCTGCGGTATCCAAGGTAGCCACTGCAAGGGTGGAACCCCAGCCATGTATTTTTCAAGTGTCTCGAGTAATTTTCCCGAATCGTTGTCGTAGGAAAGCAGCCAGAGCACTTTCGCCAGGTATTTCCTCGCCTTGCCCTCGTTTTGGTGCCTGCACGAGTGCAAAAAGCAAATGATGGCCGACTCTCCGGCAGTCATGTTTCGTGGATCATTCGTAAAGACCGTCTCGAGGTAATCACCCCACAGAGCCCAAGCTTTGACCAACGTATCGTGAAGCTGAGTCGCCGCGGAGAACGCCTTGTTCGCTTCGTCCGATCGTCCGAGTTGCGCAAGCAGCATCCCTTTCAATGCGTAGAATTCCGCCGTCATCTCTTTGGTAAAATATTTGAGATTCGTGGACTCTATGACCTCAAGGCCCTCTTGCAACTCATTTTTGCCCGAAGCCGTCATCTGCACGTAGCACTTGACCTGCTGACGAATTTTTTGGAAACAGTCGACTATTGGTACGCTCGGTATCGTGTAGATACGCGACAGGGAATCCAAACAGACTCCGGTAAGGTTGTGCTTGCGGGCTATTTTTCCAAAGTGTATTATCGCCTGTGCGGAAGCGTGAACTCCAAGCATTGAATGGTTGGAGGCTTGATCCTGCTGGTGCTCGTAGTGATTGGAGATAAATGTGTAGTGGTGCTGTCGCCACGTAAAAATGTCAGACCAGTGACTGAGATCGTCAGCAACAACAGGAAGACGATTTCGCCACGTTTTTACAATTGCCTTCATATCGTGTATTGACGAGCTCCTACCGTGCAACAAGCCTTGATGGATTTGCATTGCCTCTTGCAGTTCCATTATTTGCTGGGCTGCTTGAAGTAGGGGCAAGTGGATGTGACTGACAATATGCGGCAAGCGGCGCCACTCACGCATGCACATGTTCGATGCTGCAACAAAAAACAGTTGAAAAATTATTTTTTAATCCAGGTTTTCATAAAAATTTTAGCATACCTAGTTCAACGTATCGCTCAACAGCACTGAGGTGCTGATCCTCGCTGTGGCAAATGGCGAGAAAACCTCTGTACATATTAACTTTCCACATCATCTCCTTGGGGCAGTTTTGTTCCACGGTTGCAAGCGCCTCCTTCATGACCGACCAGTTTGGTATCCTCCAAGAGCTCTCGAGAATCAGAAAATGGTTTCGTTCCATTCTCTTGCTACCGTACTCGAGTAGTACATCCCACTGGTTGAGCTCCTTGGCACACTTGATCCAGCGTTTCTCCCAGAGAAGTACTTCGCGCTGCATCTTAACGGGTGCGGGCGTGGCTACGAATTCCTGTCTAAACTTGGTCATGGCCAGGTCGTAGGCGTTCTGCGCTTGCTCGAAGAAGCCTTGCTGCTCCAGTGCCATGGCTTGAACGGATTCCTTGTAAACGGCGTGTTTTTGCCAAAGACCGCACCACATATCCTCCTCGCAGAGAAGCTTGTAGAGGTCGGTGAGGGAGTCGAGAATCTCTATGTGAGGATTAGTGTCAGGTTCAAAGTCGTAGCAGTCGATGTCACGTTTCGGCTTGCTACCGGAGTAGCCGTTGTTACCTATAGCCCCGCTGTCGAAGGCCTGCTGCTCGAGACTCAGTGTCATACGGTGCCAGAGATTGTGTGACTTGCCGAGGTACTTCATGACAGCCGGCTTGATTGGCACTGTGACGGAGCAGTGGGACAGGGCCTCGAGGAAAGTCGCCAGGGCGCTTGGGTGACAGTCCTTTTGAATGACGTGGGTGCCACTGCTGACGAAAGAGGCGGTCTCCTTGATCAGAGCGTTCTGCTGGATCTCGTCCAAGATGCCCCACAACTGGGGAAACAGGTCCAGCCAGACCCGTTCGGCGAGACCGGTGTCCATGTGGCACAGCTGAGCCGAGGCGTTGAGCAGCTGTTTCGTACGTATTTGTTTGCACTGCTCGAGAAACTCAGCTTGATTGGCGATCAGCTGAGCAAAAGTAGCCTGCTTACCAGGACCAGTCTCCTCGGTAACGATCGGCGCGTCCACCTCCATCTTCATACCAGCTGACCCGTCCACGTCCATTATAGCATCCTTGACATCGTCGAGGTCAAGCAGCTCCATTGGCTCTTCCTTGATCAGGGAGTACTCGAGGTAGTTTTTGTACTCGTCGCCTTCTACCATGTTGATGAGCGAATTGATACTGGGCATGAGTAGCTCTTGATTCGACAGTTGCACTTGGCTGGTGGAATTGGCGGTGACGAGGAGCAGCTCGATGCATTGTTTTATCCAGTAGTGAGGACCCATCTCGTGCCAAGCTTGGCTGCATACAATGTAGAGAAGACGATCGTAGAGTTTGCGGCGCATTGAATCGTCAAAGACTTCGAAGAACTTTGCGCGAATGTGGGGCTGTACGCAACGCAAGCCACTGAGGAAAGCGGGCTCGAGCTTGGAATATAGCTCTGAGCTCTTGAGTGACTCGTCTCTGTACACGAAATTGACAAGTTCAAGAAACTGGGCGTTGAGCTCAAGATCGTCGGGGAATCGTTTCTCGACGTAGTTCATGAGTTTAGTCAGTAGTAAGCTTTTTTCGCGTAAACTCGGCGCCTGACTGACCTGACCGGCCGGACTCGCTTGACCGGGTTGACCGATCGCGTTAGTTTGACTCGCTTGATTGCTCTGATTGAACTGATTAACTACTGCGGGAGTTTTGTTCTTCATCCACTCCTCGAGTATCTTGACAATGGCCTTCATCACCCGAATATCTTGCGTCTTTTCTATCAAATTCACGAGAATGTTTGACATGAAGGACCTGCGCATTTCTACACTCATGATGACAACGCGGTTTTTAACGAGATCGAGCGCCGCAATCAGCAATTCGCTGGCCACCTGGTTATTTTCGGCTTGAGTCGGGCTCAAGTGATCCTTGGCCATGCGATGTAGAACACGCATGAAAGACGCGATCATGCGGTCGACGTATCCTGGATTATTGGTGCACGCGGCCTTCAGCATCATGAGCGTGCCGAAAAGCGAGCTGACCTGTGCCGCCGCGTTCTTTTCATACGTAGTGAGCCCATCGATGATAAACTTTCCTACTGCCGCGTACAAACTATCCAACTCCTCGTACTTTGATGCAATCGTGGACGATGCTACGTTTGGTCCGGCAGATGGTTCAGTGGGGAAGATTGTCATGAGACGGGACAGCAGCGCGTGCGTCAATCTAAAATGCAACAAAAATGCGTAAATAGTTTTCGTTCAAAAAATAATAGGGTAAACGTCAAACAAGGTGTACCAACCTTACGACTTTGGAATTGGAGCTTGCGATACAAGCGCTCAAGCCTCGCTGCAGGGGTTTGAAGCTTGCCAGTACCTGTTCCTTTTTCATGACACCCAGCAAAAACGTAACGAGCTCCAGAGCTGTGCATATGTTGCCGAAATTAGGCGTGGGCGTCTCAACGCTGCAGAACACTTTGTCGAGCCAACCTAGCTTGAGATCGCACGATTGCGGCCACATATCGGGTTTGAGGGCCATTTTCAGCAGATAAACGCAGCGCCGGGACAGCTGTTCGCCCTGGTTACCCGTAGTAGCCCCAATGGCATCGTTGACCTGGCAAGCCAAGCGAAGAAGGAAGTTGAGAACGGCGTCAGCGTGCATCCGCTCTATCGGCTTGCCAATGCCCAGCTCCAATTTCGTCGCTACACCACCTGGTGAAGCTGCGGTCGAGGCGACGGGAGATTGCCCGATGCTCGATTGCACGGCAAGGCGCTTTGGTTCCGGTCCACCATCAGTGCTGTCTCCTTCGTCCTTGATGCGCTGAAACTCCCACTTGATGATGACCTCGGCCAATTCTACGGCCAATTTACGGTGCTCAATGGAAGCCGTGGGACTGAAACCTAGACGCTGGATGGAGTTGACCATATGTTGGACGAGGTGATGCCGCACGGGGTAGTAAACTTTGTAATGCTTGACGACTAGCTGAAGGATGTGGAACAACTGTTGCATGGAGTGTCCCTCTTCGACAATGATCTTTTTCGTCCAGTGTGTCAGCATTTTGTAGCCATCCTCCATGCGCACTGGCATCGCTGGTGTAATGATTTCCAAAGCCTGTCGGACGACGGAGCGTGCCTCAAGTGCGTGAGCTTTAAGCAAACTGTGAAAAACCTGGGAAAAAAGGAAGTTAATGTCATGTATTAGCACAGATCAAACACATACGGAATGAATTTTGATTTAGCTAAGGTGCTCAATCGAACTCACTTGCAAGACTATTTTTTTGTGGATAGCAAATTTGGCGATGACGTGACTGAGTAGAAGATGGCCGTGGTACCGCGTTACGGGATCGACACAGTTCTTGCTCAACAGGCACGGCCACGCAAACGTCATGAGTCTTCGCAGTTTATTGCCTTGACGTTTGTTTGTTCCATCGTGAATGTACTGAGGTGCCAATTCCACTAGCAGACAGGAGAGTTGTAACAAAGCGATACGGACACAGTCGACTGATGTCAGGATACTGTCCGGGTCTATGATCTTGTTGATGAAGACGGATATGATGTTGTCGGGGCTGTCTTGGTAGGGTACGGGCGCGCTGCCCACGAGTTTGATGTCCTCGCCCTTTTCAAAGCTCACAGAGAAACAAGGTATTATGATCAGCTGTACGATCTTTGCTTTGAGCTCGGGTGACATGTTTGTTGGAAAGTGTTCGACAAATCTAAAAAATTATAAAGTTTATTCAATCGTTCCTACGAAAGTTCAAAACAGAGAAAAAAATTAAACGTTTCGCAAGTATGAACGAACCTGAAAAAGGCACTCCTCTTCCATTCGACTGTGTACTCTTGGGCAACGGTGTTTTCCAGAAAATCCTTGAGGAACTGGAAATCCGGAACGTATCTGCCACAAGTGGCTCTCAGCAGTTGAAACAACAGATCTATATCGTTTGGATGGTGGCAGAAATAGTGCAGCAATATCTTGACTATGAGCTTAGGCTCCTTCCAGTGGCAGAAATCAATGTTTTCGACTTTCTTGTGTAATGCGTGGTAATCGTCGTTGCACCAAATTTGCTTGAGAGCCGCGACGAGCTGCAATTGGGTCGACAACCATTGCTCGTCGAATTTAATCAGCACCGACACTATGCGAATGGCCTGATGTTGCAACTCGCTTTTTTCCTCCGGTGTGAGGGTCGAATTGATTTGCGAGTGGACGAGCAGCATCGAGACGAGACGCAGCGAGCTCTTGCAAAGCATGTCACGGAACGGCTTGCCTTCCTTGTGTTTGATAAGGAACTCGAGGTATCGGCTCCACTGCTGGTCCTTGATGTTGTTGTCGTTTAAGAACAGAGTCAGGGTGTCCGTGGGATATCTCAGCAAGAACTTCATGAGTGGCATCCGGAACGGACTGGAAGCCTCGATCAGCAATGCTTTCTCAGCTTGAAGGACAAGTCGACAGAGAACCTCGATGAACTTTGGCGTCGCGGCTGGTATTTGATGGAAAATTTCGATGATCGTGGCAATCTTTTGCTCGTTCTCACCGGTCCTCGACACTCCCTTGTGCGCCTGTATCAGATTCTCGAGTAGTTTCTTCAGATGCTGCAACAGCTGCTCGCAGAGCGTTATACTGAAGGTACTCGGGAATAGCTGAGTCAAATAAGACAACCTCTTGACGCAATTGAGGCTCAAATTGCGATGGTCACCAAGCGTGAGCAGCATGGGCCGCATGATCGCGTGCACGGATTCCATCTCGATCTGGAAGCCAGCTATGAATTTCTGCATGCACTCGAAGGCGGTCTCCTGTAGCTCGGTGTTGGGCTTCTCGAGCGAGGCATACAACACTTCGAATATCTTTTGACGCTTTTCAGGTATGTAGTGACAGGCAGCCAGCGCTCGCAGTGCGGACTTGCGTAGCGGGACGAGATTCGGCACGGACTTGTAACAGGGAAGTCGATGAAGATTCACGTCCTCGGCTTCGTTAAGAGTCTGTAGTTCTTCGAAGAACACCTTGTGCTCCACGGTCTTGAGATCGATCGTGAAGAGTCGAGGATTTAGAGTGGTGCAGAAGGTATTACCGTCCATCAGGCCAATCTGGGCGTTAGCCGGCTGATGCCTCAGCAAGTGCTTCTTGGGTGGTATCATGTCCGCGAGAACGTCCTTGTGCGGCTCCATGACTTCGGTCACGCTCTTGTTTTGTATCTCGGCGAGCAGTCGCAGCGACGCCATAGACTGCTCCCTGACAATGGTGTGGGGCGAGGTGACCTGTCTAACCAGCTCGTGCGTCACGTCGTAGAGCGCCTTGTTTTGCGCCTCCAGCAACTCGGCGTTGGCCTCCTGTGGCCCGGGCTCGACGCACACCCGTAGCATCTTCTCGAGATTCGCTTTGGCCATGTCGATGGCACCATTCGACACCTCGCCAGTCAGGTCCATCATGACGAAAATGAGGGCTCGCAGGAAGATAAACAAATGATTGAGCACCCACTTGGTGGCCATGCGCTCGAACAAAAATTTGATAGCCATACAGCCGCCGAGCTTCGCGTACCAGGCGCGCTCGTAACAGAGGGAGCACATCCGGTCGGCGAGATACTCCATGAGCGGCAGCTGGCAGGCTCGCTCCTTTGAGCCTAGGATGCTCGTTGCGGTCTCGAGTATCAGCACGAGAGCCATGTTGCCTGGTTTGCACAAGTCCTTGTCCTCGTGGCCGATTATCGTAGCCAGGGCGTCGACGAGCACCAGGGGATCCAGGCCCTGAAGTTTGTTTGGCGTGTTGGCCAGGCAGAAGGGTCCGGCTTGCTGGGCGATCGCGACCATCGTGTAGTGCCGGACGATGCTGAACATCGGCCCGAGCACCGTTTGGCGCAGATCTTTGTGCGCGGCCGCGACGAACAAGCCGGTGAGCGCTGTCTGCTGGACGTTGCGCGCGACCGTGTCCGGGCACTTGTAATGCCCTCCGGCGTTCAGGATCTTTCCGTCCTTGAACGACGGGTGCTTAAAGAACTTGTATAGAGTCGCGCGTTCGTCGTCCAGTTTCATAGAGGCAGCCAAGTAACAATGAACCGCCTCCCAGCACTGTTTGCGATAAAATGTATCGGTAGTGTTGGATTTGAGGGCCGTGAGGGCCGTGTCGATGACCTTCTCGGTGAAGAAGTCGATGGCCTGCATCGGCTCCTGGAAGTACGCGACGACGGCCGGTGAGTTTGTCTCTCGATCGTTGTACTCGAGTTTTTGCGGCTCAATCATCATCTTTCGGTTCCCTCCGCCAAACTTGCCGAGGACTCTAAAAGCCACGTGAGCCACCTGCTCCGTGGGATTGCGCAGGGTTCTCCACAATGCCTGCATTAAGTCTGCTCTGACCGGTTGAATGTGCTCGTAGAGGAAGTCAGGTTGAAGATTGTCGACGCAAAGCTCGAGCGTACGCAGCCCTTGGCTCACGAGGGTGTGGCTTCCATTGAGAGCCGAAACTAGCGGGTCCATCAGCATGGGCAGATACGGTAACAGGGAACTCAGGCGAACGGGCACGGTCAAGCACAACTCGACGAACAAGTCTTTCATGTGTTGCTTGTGCAGCCCGGACTGTAGCCTGTTGAGTCCCTCGAGCAAGTTGGGTAGTAGTGGCAGGAATTCTTGGTAGAGAAGATCATGGGAGCCACCACCGATGGAGCGGAAGAGGGCCCGTAACAGCAAAAAGTAATTGTAGGGTTCCTTGGCGGACATGGCTAATTCCATGGATCTGTTGACGATCTGGTGCAAATGTGGTCGTAGCATGTGCTCGTTCTCGGCAGGAAATAGCGATACGCTGCCAAAGACAAGTTTGAACAGTCGCAGGTAGAGGTTGCTCCGCTCGACGCACGAGCCCATCTCATCGATCCGTTCTAGCAGGTATTCCACGAGTACGGTGGCGAAGATTGGCGAGGTCGTTGGATTGGCCAAAAAAGAGTTGCCGATTATCTGCAGAGCCGGATTCTTGAAGATACGCTCGACCATGTACTCAATGGTCGTCGAAAATATCTCCTGGAAGGTTTGAGGGTTCATCAGGGAAAAGACCCCGCTAAAGTGTTCCAGCACTTCTTTTTCCTCCTTACTTCTGACCGTTTGCGGCTGAGTCGGTCTGCCTGGTTGTACGAGCGCCCCAATAGCCTGTGGTCCTATTGTGTAAATGTCCAAGGCCTGCAGAGCCCATTTAACGAGACGTATGAAAACCAACGTTTCTTTGGGTTGAAATTGTTTCATCTGCGGCGTCATGTCGGACGCTTTGCAATTGGCGCAACCCCAAGTGATGGTCTTGACACCGCAAACGAGGGTTTTCACGAGACTACGACAGTCGACGACGTTGCAGTGCTGATTCGGCACCGGCTGCTGAGAGGGAAAACCGAATTTCGACTTGGACTCTTTTTCCTCTTGCTGCTGAAGTTCTGCGAGACTGGGTTTTATATCTTTGATGTCCTCTTGCGAAGTGGATTTTGCATCGACGTTGGGCGTTTGCAGTTGTTTCGCCTTGGCCATCAAAACGGGTAACTGTAGTTTCGTGATTGTTTTGAATTTCAGCACAAACGCCTCGAGTATCCTCATAAGTAGTTCTCTACCCTGGTTACTGCCTTCGGCTTCCGAGCGTTGTCTGATGCAATCGACCAGATTCAGCAGCAACTTACAGGACATGGTCTGGATGGCTGTCGGTAGGTTCTGGTCGTGTACGTTTTTACTGTAATTAGATAAAAAAAGTTAATGGGGTAAGAGTTAGGGATGAAATAAAAAAAAGAAAAAAAGAAACACAAGCTACCTGAATACTTGTACGGCTCTAGCAAGATCAGCCAAAGGTAGGGATTGCCTTACATGGTGAACCAAATCGGCGAGAGTCGAGTAAGCGAGCGGCCTGAGATTTTCGTAAGTCGTCCACCCATGACCGAGCAGTACCTCCTCGTCAAAGAGTCGTTCAATGTGAGGCACAAATTTCATCCTGAAATCCGTGGCGAGGATGTGCCGCGCGGCTATCAACAACTCTTTTCTCAGGTTCGCCACCTCGGGTGGGCAGAGAGACAGTAATCCTAGCATACCCTTGACCATCATGGTGCTGTGCTGAGCGACAACGTCTTGAAAGATGCGTATGATGTAGGCCAGGAACGAGGTGGTCTTTATTTGGGCGCCCATAAAGTCGACAAAGACTTCCTTGTTGAAGCCCGGCGCCGCGCGTTGCTGAGGACTTGGCTGCAACGTTATCGTTGTCATGATCAGTGGAATAAAGTCCGAGACCTCCTGGTGCACGTTTTGTTTGTAGATCTGGTACATCAAGACCACGATTATGGGCAACTCTTGCAGCACTTTAAGCGACAGCACTGCTCTTGGAATGAGATTGTACTGCAATGTGAAGTGGCGTTGTGTATCATTAGGGTGTCACGAGGGAAATCCCCTATTTTTTTTTTTTAATTTTACTTACGGTTTGTACAGAGCCATCGGGAGCCTTCTTCTCGCTCTGGATGGGAGTTATGGTGAAAGTTTCCTTCAGCCAAGCTTCCTGATTGAGGTTTATTTCATTGAAATCTTTGACACGGATAGGCGGCCGAGGCTCGAAAATTTTCGGTAAATTTTTCGGCAACTCGCTGTATATCAATTTCACGAATTGCAAAAAGTGCTGGATCTAAAGAGGAAGGCGAAAACAAAAGTAAATTTCAATGATATTCAACAACCATATGTGTGAACAATCGGTACAAGAGTAACAAAGAATACACGTGCCTCGGGATTGAAGGTGGGCCTGTACTGCTTGTGGAGCTCAATGATGATCCTCAAGCAAACGATGATGTTCTCCTCGTTTTCGATTTCCAGGAGTTTGAGCATGAGGCTGAGTATCTGCTTGACGTACGTTCTGAGGAAGTCGTTGGTCGGTAGCCTGTGAATCATCTCCAGGATGAGTTTGCGCATCTGCTGTATGCTGTACTCCGATATGAAGTGCGGCTCTCCCTCTTGGAGTATCTTGAGGAAATTTTTCATCAAATGATCCAAAAAGTTTGGGTACTGGGGCGAGCATATTATCACCTGCAATCGGAAGTTCAAAGGGGTTTAAAGTAAAGACACGATCGGACGAGTTGAGGTGGCGTTTTGAACGTATTACGACCTCGAAATTCTCCGACATCTCCTGAGCTGCCTTCAACTTTGACTCGTCCTTTGCGTTAGGATCGGCCAGCATGGTCACGTACGACCGGTAGGTATTCATCTGCGTCACCGGATCTGTCGGCGGTGCCATTTTGATAGCTGCCTTTTTTTCCTTTCTCCTTTTTTTGTTGCTGTTGTTCTTTTCCTACAGAGCACAGCTCAGCTCGCGGTGTCCATTAAAATTCTGCAAAAAAAGGATGTTGGAAAAGAAACATTAATCCATCCATCCTTGGCCATTTGGATCTTTACACAAATAAAGAGTCTCGATAGTAAAAATAAAAAAAAAAGTACCAAGTACTACTATGGCCTACATAATCTCGACCGAGCGGAACTCCTGACTAACATTAATCGATGCCTCACTCTCTATCTTTTCTTTTTTTCCCCCCGCAGGTAGGTGGAGGTGTAAACAAGCCCTAGCAACGCCAAGTATTTGAATAGACCAGAAATTTTTGTTTTTCCATTGCAGTGGCTGATTTTCGGACGCAAAATTGTTGGAGAAAAAAGAAAAAAAAAAACCAAAAGGGAACGAAAAACCACACTTAGCTCCTGGACAAAAACCTCAAGCGTGCAAAGGGGGAAACGAAGGGGGAGAGTTTGGGGGGAGGAAAAATGCGGTGATCCCACGAATGAGGATTTAACTCGACGGAATTGCCAGGCGCTAAGGTAGTTACACCGGAGGGTGGGCGTGTGTAGGGGGAGGGATGGCGTTAAAAATTGTAATATCCAGCCGAGGTAGCGATTCACGCCCTCCCGGCCGACATTTGGATGCAGTGCGAGGCGGAAGTCTCGAGACGCGGCATCGAAGGGAACAGGATCGCAGTGCGCGCGTGAAACCGCATTGCGTCGTTTTTTTCATCTACGATGGACGAAAAGACGATCGACTCGATTTTCGCGGGCTCGCTGAAATCCTTGCCACCGGTCAGCTCGAAGATCGTGCGGATTTTCACCAGCTCGACTTTTACCGGTAAAACCTGATTGATAGTTTTTTTTTTTTCTTTCAAATTGTTCATCTTGGTATGTATGTTTTTTTTGCCATTACAGATACGTCGATGGAGCGAAACACTCTGATGGCCCAGTGTTATCCGAAACTTAAGGACTACTGTCGCGAAAAACACGGCCTGGAGTTTCAGGTATTTGGACGATCAAGCAACTTGACACTCACCAATTTGTTATACCCATTAGTACCATAGTTATATGTTTTACGATTGCACATTCAAGTCAATTGTTCACTCAAAAGCGATCCTCGATTAGAATGTTTTCCATCAATGCAGAAATTCATACGTATCATTATGTAGAACATGGTGAAATATATTCCAAAAGCATCAGTACAGACAACTGTACTCTGTGGTTTAATTTTAAATTTTCAAAGAGCACGTCACGAATTCTTTTTGAAATCCTATAAAAAAAAGGGATATTGAAAAAAATAAATAAATAAATCAATAAATAAATCAATGTAAAATCAAAACGTTCAATTTGCGTTTAAAGTTACGCACAGTGGTGCAAGTCGCGTTTTAACCTTTGAGCCTGTAGGTCACACTCGACCTTGAAAGCTAAATTGATTTGTCCCAAAGTTGTGGAAGCACATCAGACACGCAAACAAAGCTCCTATCTTCGCTTTAGTTTCCCCTGATGGCGGTGCACGGGGTATACCTATACTTTGTATATAAGAGTGGCCCAAAGCTTTTATCGTCAGATAAGTAGTCCAAGTTTTCCCCGAGAAACCCGATGATGGCATCTTATTTTGTTTTAACTGCTGTAGCAGTGCACTTTTATAACATAAAGACTTTGTTTCGACCCATTCTTGTTCAGGTCGTGGACATGCGATGGGGAGTTCGAGACGAAGCGACGGACGATCACATGACGACCGAACTCTGCATGCGCGAGATCGAAAATTGCCAGCGATTGTCCATGGGACCGAATTTCGTGGTACAGATGTATATTTTTTTCCCTCCTCCCCCGTCCCCCTTTCTTATTATTGATCAATGATGGGTCGTTGCCACGTGCAAAGACGTAACTAACGATCGCTACAGGTTTTCCTGGGCCAAAAGTATGGCTACCGGCCAATTCCCACCTACGTGCTCAGCTCCGAGCTCGAAATGTTGAGGAACGAGTTGGACAGCCAGGGCACGGACGTCGGCGTTCTCGACACTTGGTACAAGAAGGACAGCAACGCCGTGCCCCCTACGAGCATACTACAACCGATTTCTTCGATCCTGAAAAACTTTAACAACAAAGTAAACACCCATCACCGTGCCAATATTATTTCGCACCTCCTCCCACGGTCACTCGAAGTGGGGGAACAAGTGCCTATATACCGATACATAAACGATTCTTTCTGCCATCAGAGAATACCGAAACTGCAACAGGAGGACCAGGCGATTTGGTGGGAGACCATGGTGAAGATGCAAAAGATGTTCCGCAAGGGCGCGCAGTCCCTGTTCAACAACGGGAAATTCGACAAGGACACCATGCACAACTACTTCATGTCCGGTGGGTATATGACACCGTGTACGGTTGCCCAGATTGTTGATTTGCGTGAACACTCGTTGCGTTCGTTTGTTTGTTTGTTTCATCCCTCTCGAACAAAGTAACCGAGCGAGAAGTCATAAATGGATTGTTGAACGTGAAAAACACGAAGAACCACTGTCTGGCGTACCTGCGCTACATAAACAACATAAACCTGCAAAACCTGAGAAAAGCGAATCTCTACTTGGACATAATCAACCGTAGCTTGGACAGCGAAGCCTCGAAGCTGCTGGCCGATCTACGGGACGTCAGGGTGCCGAACAAAATCGAGAGCACGAATTTACAAAAGTATAATTATATATTATGACCACTGCCGTTGCGCATAATGTATATATAGTGATGATACTTTGATCGTTTTTTTTGCCAATCGGTGTAACATGTGTAATATAGGTACACGATCGAATGGATCGGCCGAGAGGGCCTGGATCCGGAGACGCACAGCGAGTACTTGCAGCACTTCATAACGCACTTTTACCGCAACATCATCAAGCTGGTGGACAGAGCGATGAAGAAGGAGGACAGTTCCGCCCAGGGACAAATCATCACGGAAATACTCCAGCACCTGCACGCCTGCAACAATTCCGTCAGGGTGAGAATATAATTATAGGGCTCGTCATTGTGGGTACTTTTTCTTTACGGGAGTGACGAACGATTGTTTTCAAGGTTTTTTACGGTCGCGAGCAAAGCTTGGTAAAAATCGAGCATTACATGCTGGGGGAGAGCGACAAGCCGCTCGTGTTGTATGGTGAGGGCGGCTGCGGCAAGACGTCGCTTCTGGCTAAGAGCGCGGGACTATCGACCGTCTGGCTGGCGGGAAAGAGGCCGATAAACATCATACGGTTTCTAGGCACGACGCCCGACAGCAGCGCCCTCACACCCACCCTGATCTCGATATGCCAGCAGGTCTGTCCACCCCGTTTGTCCAAAGAAAAAAAAAAAAAAAAAAAAAAAAAAAAAAAAAAACTGGTACCCTAATACTTGTATCGTTCTTCATCTTTTGGGTAGATCTCCTACAACTACATGCTGCCCTTTGATGAGATACCGGACGATCTGGTGCCATTGACTGCGCACTTTAAGCACCTGTTGACCCTCGCCACGGTCGAGCAGCCGATCCTCCTGTTTCTCGACAGCGTCGACCAATTGACGGGCGTCCAGGGCAACAAATTGTCTTGGCTGCCCACCCGATTGCCCGCCAACACAAAGATGATACTCTCGTGCGCCGCCGAGGAATCGAACCCCGTTATATCCAGGGATTATCACCTCCTTCGACGGATGATCGACACCGACGACAGCTTCATCGAGGTCACGGCCCTCGGCGAGGATTTGGCCATGGATGTTATTCGGTACTTGGCGATCACTTATGTTCCCTTGTTTTGGGTGAAACGAAATTGTACATGCCGATCATTTACCGCAGCATGTGGATGAAGACGGCCCATCGGGATTTGAACAACTACCAGTGGCGGCTGGTCGCCAACGCGATATCCAAGTGCTCGCTGCCGATATTCGTGAAACTCGTGTTTGCCGAGATCTGCCGTTGGCGCAGCTACACCAAGCCAGCCGACACCCACCTGGCCAACACCGTCATGGACAGTATAATGATGCTGTTCGAGCGGATCGAGAAGCAACACGGGAAAATCCTCGTGTTTCACGCGCTAGCTTACATAACGGCGGCCAAGTCCGGGCTGTCCGAGTCGGAGCTCGAGGACCTCATATCCCTGGACGACAAGGTCCTCGACGACGTCTACCAGTACCACTTGCCACCAGTTAGGAGGATACCACCTCTACTGTGGACGCGCATCAGGAACGATCTGCCCAACTACCTGAGCGAGCGCGAGGCAGACGGGGTGAGCGTCATGAACTGGTACCACAGGCAATTCAGGGACGCCGCGAGGGAGAGGTACTTCAAAAACATGAATCTCGCTACGTACTTCCACTCGATGATAGCCGACTATTACCTGGGTATATGGGGCGGTGGCAAACCCAAGCCTTTCAAGTTCACCGAGATACAGAGGCATCGGTAATTGTTTCTTTTCACGACGTGTAACTGATACGTCATAAGCACGGATCACATTTTTTTTCAAACGATGGCTCGTAGGTTCAATCTTCAGGATAAAGAGGGTGTGGCCGACAGGAAGGTCCCGGAGCAGCCTCTGGCGTTTTACTCCAAGGAGGGAAAATTATCGAGATACAATCTCAGAAAGGTATACATGACCGGACATGAAAAAGTATATAAGATATTCCTTTTACGTAGTAGACCACGAGTCATGTTGTAATTGGATTCCGACAGTTTGGCGAGTTGCCCTTCCACCTGGTCCGGGCTCACCGGTTCAAGGATCTGTTTGCCAATGTGCTCTTCAACTACGAGTGGCTGCACGCCAAGCTCAGCTCGTGTCCCTTGCAAGCGGTTCTGTCCGATTTCGAGGATGCCTGCCTCAACATCGAAGACCAAAACCTCGTGAGGTACATATATATACGTTCACTTTTGACAAGTTTTCCGAGCAGTTGATGAAAAAAAAAAAAAAAAAAAAAAAACACTACTTCTTTGATCCAGGGAATTGATGCTGGTTGCTGACGCGTTGCGCCTGGGTGGTGCCATTCTGGGCAACCATCCAGATATGCTGGCGCCGCAGCTCATCGGACGGCTGCTCCCGGAAATCGGCAACAACGCCAACGTCCGGATGCTCCTTAGAGCTTGCGACGACGACGGTGCCAAGGACTGTGCTCTGTTGCCGGTTTACCATTGTCTCCACACTCCCGGTGGACCGTTAAAGGTACACCTACTTATTATTGTTGTTGTTTTTCAGAAACTTTTAACTTAATGAAACTATTGTACTCAGTATTCCCTGGAAGGACATCAGTTTGCTGTGTTTGGCTTCTGTTTGACGTCGGATTATCGCTACGTCGTTTCAATATCGAATAAATTCATCACCTGGGACTTGAGCACGAGCGACATGACGAAAGACGTGAATCCAGGGATCGAGGGGATAATGCAGCAGTTGGTTCTGAGTCCGGACAACAGATACGCGGCCGCTTACACGAATAATAATCAGGTAAACAGTTTTGAGAACTAGTGGGAGATGGTTGGGAAAAATGTGTGACCTCCACTGCGTGTTTCAGTCCGTGGTGTTGAATACTTTGACGAGTGAGTTTGTGATCATCGACAACCCGTTGCCAAACGAGGAGCCGGTGCGCGGGGTCTACTTGATGAATCAGTTCGCGTTCATTTACGGTAAGAGCGGCTGGTGTAGGTTCGACTTAAGGGGCAATTTGATCGGTAACCACACGAGTCCCGAGGATCCGAACGAGTGGTCGATTCTAGGTGGGTACAACGATTTTTTGTTGCTAATGTGAATACCCGGTTAGAAGCATTTCTATTGCCCTGAATGGTTATTTCAGAGCTGGAATATAGTACATTGGACGATTATAGGATCAATTTTTGGTCCGGGAACCTGGACAATCCTAAAATGTTGCTTCGTACTTATCGAAACAATGTGTATTTGGATCCATTTTTGTTTCACAGGTAAGGGGCTTTTATTGAAACCTTTCGTTTTAAAAATCACGCAACAGTAAATAACATTTGATTTTTCGCAAAGTGCCATGGTTATGACCAAAGATAGAAAGACCTTGTTTGCCTGTACAATGGAAAATAACTACCAAGTGACGATGTACTCCCTTGAGGACACGTCAACTTGCTGGACGAGAGTAAGAGACATGCCTAGGGCACATAACGACCAGGTTGAATACGTGTTGCAATTGAAACTCGACAAGGAAAACAAAACACTGCTCGCAACTACGGGAAATGGATTTATAGTTTGGTTCCTGGAGGAAAATACCGATGCTATTGTCCTTATGCTTCCCAACGGAGTGAGAAACATTCACACGAGAATGATGTGTTCCAATTCAATAATGATCAGTGGCACTAAGGACTACGCAGTTGCTGGTGTGAGGTAAAACATCTGAAACGCCTTATTGGAGATTGGGAAAGAAAAATAATGGATGTATTTCATTTGAACAGAAAAAATTTGTACGTTTGGAGTTTGACTACTTCTGAATTGGTTAAGGTATTGGATGCGCATTTTGCACGAATCATACAGTTAGAGGCTCTCATTGTTGGTAATTGGAACAGCGTTATAACGTCAAGTATCGACAGAAGCGTCAAAGTATGGAACATAAATAACATCTTTGAGCAAGTTCACGTAATCGATAGACACGAGTTGCAAATAGACTCTTTGTGGTAACTTGTTGCAATGTTTAATTGAAAAAAAAAAAAAAAAAAAAAAAAAAAAAAAAAAAAAAAAAAAAAAAATTACAAGTGCATGATTCTTAAAGAAAATAAACTATTTAATTTTGTACAGTTTAGCAGAAGACTGCAATCTTGCAGTAACGGTGACTAGGGGTTGCGTTGGAGTGTGGGATTTGCAGTGTGGCAAATTGATTTCGAAATTAGCTGACAGTCCGCTGGGAGCTATTGTGACACATGCCAGTATTACTCGTGACGGAAAGTAATTATTCGTACATCAACTGTTTTAAACAATAACTAAAAAATAACTGTTTGATGGACTAATTTAATTATTTACTTTTAAGGTACATTATATCAACTGAATCGGGAAATGTTTTGATTTGGAATCGTATTACTGAGCAAGTGTTATTTAAAGAAGAACAAGCAGATGTTAAACAACTACTACTAGTAGATGAAGATACCAAGTTTGCTACAATTTCTAGAGAAAATAATCCCCCCGGAGTTGAATCGTTAAAAACTATAGCTACTTTTACTTTAAGAAGCATACCAGGTACTTTTAAATAATGAGTTGTTGTAAGGTTTGATGAGAAACAAGTTTTTTTAACTAACGCTTGTTTTAATTTATCGATTTGAAAATGAATCAGATGGAACAATACTATTTATTTTCGAATACCCTGTAAGAAGTAACACTGGCACACCATTTAGAAAGGTCGTAATCACTTCTGATGGATCGTACATTGTGATACCAGGAGCAGAAAAAAGTAACAGAGACTGGATTATGGTGTATAATGCCAAAACTGGCGTTAATATCAGTAAAATACCCATCAAGTTGCCGGGATTCAAAGTAAGTGGTATGCCAAAGCAATTTTACAATACACATGCTAATTCAATAATTTTATTTTCAAGGATATAATATCCATTGTTCCAATGCCAAACAAAGCCCAGTGGGTTGGTATTATTGGCACTGACAAGGGCACTATTTTAGATATCCATAAAAAAAAAATTATCAGGTCCATTCCAAAGTGGAGTGGAAATATTAGCAAGGATGGAAAATACACTCTTTATGCTCCCAGCAGGTTTAAAATATTTTCAGATAAATACCGACTGGTTAAAAATATGGCTGATACATATTATCATTTTTCTTAACTTTAAGGGGAGGCTTGGAACTTATTGAATTGAAAAAAGGTACAACAGTTAAAACATTCATTCCAAAAGTTGCCGAGGGAGTATTTACTATTCTTTCTGTGTTCAATAGAACAGACGAATATGTTCTTTACTATCACAGTGGTAGAAAAACCATCAGGGTATTTAGGTACATAATCAAGATTGATATTCAATGACTTAAATTAACAAGATTAACTAAGCTTTGAATGTAAACAGATCGTCAGATTGTGAAATGATAGCAAACTACAGGGTACAGGCGGAATTAAGTGCAATCGACAGCACGTACGATGGCAAAGGAATAGTTTTAGGAACTGTTGATGGTTGTGTGTCAGTACTAGCTATAGCAGATATCGAAAAACCAGACATGAAAGAATACTTGGCAAATTTACCTTCCCGGGATGAAGAGGTTTGTGACCACATTGTTGTATTACTTCATTCAAAACAAACATTGTTTATAAATTGTTTCTCAAAATGGCTATTTTTATAAGTTGCATGCAAGTCTTAATGAATACTTACATCGTATTAAACATTAATTATCTAGCAAAATTTCATATTTTTTATGGAAATGTTGGTAAACAAGTGGTTGTACTGACCTTTACTGAGGTTAACTTTTCATTTTTGGGTAAAAAGCTGGATTAACCAAGTTTCCATGCATTTCGTCAAGTTTATCAGTCTCTAGTTATCACTGCACTAATTTTTAAAGTTCACTGGACAACACTAATTATCTTTCACATTATTTTTATCAAATAATTTCGGAGCCGATGTGCCGTCTGCGAAAACTCGCAACATATACACTATAGTTACATGTTGCGAGTTTTCGCAGACGGCACATCTGTAGGTAGGGCGACAGAAAGCGTTTCGATATTCGATACTTTATCTGCAGATGACATCATCTAACTCTACTTTTTCATTTTTCTTAATTATTTTCGGTATTGCGAAGAATAAAAATTATTTTAAAAATTAAATACAATCATTATTAATTCCAGAAAATGGATAAAAGCTGCAGAAAACGTAAGAAAATCACGACGTTTCCACATTATTAGTTTAAAATAATTTTTTTATCTATTTATCTTCACAATCGATTTAGCATCGAGTGCATGATTTTTGTTAAATGTTTCGAAACTTATGCTACGTACTGATTTAATTATTCTTAAATCACAAAGTTAACGTGGTTAACAGATCATATCTTAAAAAAGCTTGAAGTTTTGGGGTAGTTTAACAACAAAAATCAAATCAAATCGAACGTGAATTTGCATATCGATTGTGTGTCAATCTTGATACTATCGATTCACTGCACTGTATAGGTGTACTAGACTACTAATACTAGGTAGTCTATTGTACACGTTGAATGGAATGCATCCACTTGAAATAATTACAAAAAAACTAGATTATAAAGATTATTTTTCAAGTTCTACTGGAAATGAATAACAAAAAATAATAATTCAACAATTTTCCGAAATATACTCAAACACAGTCTTGTTTTAGAATGTTCTTAAATGCTATGATTTCATTTCATTTCAGTGGAAAAAACGCATGGAAAAGCAGCGGGCAGCCATAAAATTCAAGGCTGTGGCCCGTATTGCTCAAGTTACACACGATTTGACGAACATCGTGCGAGCGTAAATTGTCTCTTTTCCTTCATTTTTTAGATTTTATTTGGTTCTTCGTCAAAAGTGTAATTGTAATAGATGATTGATTTATTAATTTGTCATGAACATAATTGCTTCATTTACAATAAAAAATAAAAATGTAATAATCTTTTAATTAAGAGTATGAAGGTTCTGTAAATGAATAAATAAAGCAGTAAATAAAAGGTTTGATCGAGGTTTATGGAATTTATATTACATTTATTCTGTTTTTTTTTAATGTAGTTGTTTCTTTCTTTTTTTTTTCCTAATCTTTCTCACAACATAATTCTTTCATGCTATTTTTTTACAGGCATCCAAAGTTTATAAGAAGGCACGGGGTGCATTTGCTTTATCCAGTAAATATGACGTTAGTTGGTATTAATTTTCCTTCTGCCTCAATCTTGGATTGGTACAAAACGAATTGTTGAAAGTGATGTTTTCGCTATAGGCCGAAATGAAAAATACGTGTTCTGCCTAGTTGCAATTGATTTTCGCGAAAACGATTTATTGATGAGATTAAAGTTTCTTCTAACAAATGTACCTCGTGCCCGTACATAGGCGTGGTAAAGTCCAATCAATCGATGTTCTTTACAAGTTCTTTTGTCTATTCAATTATAATCTTCATTTTTTTATTTATTTTTTCTTATATCGAATTTGGTAAACAAAGCTTTTTCAACAAGGCTCCAACGTGAAGCATAGCTGAAAGTAATTCAGGTAGACGCTTTTCTCCCTCACTGGCTTTCTCTCGTTCTCACTATTTCTTTCTTTCATAGTTCCATCCATTCCTGCTTTCATTTTTTTTTAGTTACCTGAATGCTCGAGTGATCTTTTTTTTTAAACAACTACTATACGCATTTTTTTCCGTAACAATGTACAACTAAAACTAGCAAACACGCCTGCTGTAGCACTTGTACACGCATGATCGTACATCGCCGACTTGTCGAGAACCATTTTTTCTCTTAATAGATCTAAGTTTTAATCAGAGTCAAGCTCTCAATAGTTTGAGATAAAAATCATCTTTCAAACATTGAGTTTTTTTTAATTATTGCATAACGATGTGTCCTGATAACCGTTTCAGTTCGTTGAAAACGATGTTCCATACTTGAATCATCTATGTGATCAAAATGCAAGGAAGGATTAATCACGATATTTATATCCATAGGCTCGTTATACACCGATGTTCCATTCTTGATTTTTTGAGTAAACCTTTTGCCTTATTTTTTTTCTTTAGATAATTTCCCTTTTTTCCCTCATACTTCCGTGAATATAATTAACACCGCAAAAAGTTTGTCGGCTTTCTTTTCTACGGTAAATTGTTCATTTTCTATTGCGTGCTGTTGCCTTTCTGTGTTTGCTGATGTGATTGTGATGGTTGGTCTTTCTGCTGCGATTCTGCAGCTGCTGTATCTCTCATATGTTTTTCAACCTTAAAAGAAAATAATAATAATATTAAAAAATACATTTGTAATACATTAGGTATTACACAAATAAACAAGTGATTTCTTTACATAAAATCAAAGCAAAGAATAATAAAACGTCTTTAACTAAGAATAATAGATGATTATTAAGGTAAGAGAGATAATTTTAATGATAAATCATTATAATTATAATAAAATTTAATGGATTACGATTGATGAGTGTTTTAACGGCGTGATGCAATATTTTATTGGAGCTAGTCATCAAAGTAATATATAATGTTTATTCTTTCAAATCTACTTTATAACAAAAATCTCCGAATAACATAGAGACAGGAAATGAGTCACTACTGGTGACTACTAGACTTTTTGAATAAAGTGAGTAATGTGCTAAAATAAAATTCTTACCACTTTCTTTATGTGAGTAAATGCTTTATCATCTGAATTCCCCTGTACGTTTTCAACTTTGTAAGGTGGTATAATCGTCACTTTGTCCCAGACAACTATATTAGGACCATTCCAGGTGATCTCATTTATGGTTTTGGAAATTGCTATGAATAATTTCTGTCCCTCTGGCGACACTCCGGCCTGCAGAGCCTTTACCATCCTCTTTTTCTCCTCAATTTGATTACGCACTCTCGTATTTAGCCTCTGCAGGTTGAGACTCTGTGGTGGTTCATTGGTTGTGGGATTGACTTCCTTCTTCACCTGTACATCCGACACTAGTGATAGGTTCACTATGTGTACATCGTTTAATGATTCCCTACCGCACGAGGAAGGACATTCTATGAACAATCTAGTTAAGGAAATTACAGTGTATCATCATCGACAATGAATCATTGGATAATAAAGAAAGGTCATCCAATGCACAGCAACTGAAAAATTGGACTTGATCAAAATTAAAAGGAACAAAAAAATTGCAACAAAAGCATCAACGTGGTAATGTCAGGATGTGTGTACAAGCACGTTTCTGTGTATAATATAAGCAAAGAGTTATGGACATAGGGAACTTTTTAAAGTCAATCAAAGGGACAACAACACAATGTTGTGTTATAAATGTTGTATTGTATTTACAATTGATTTACACTTTATCCGAAAGACTGTACCCATTGTATGAAACCGCGTATACAATGCCTGGTATCAGACGACACGCGAATGCAGCCTCTGATAAGCATCACATACAGGTTTCAGAGCAACAGAGCAGAGCAGAACAGACGTTCCGAATAGAAACTTGGATTCAGCGCAAATCAATTGTTCAACACTTGGACAACGGAGATGACGAGGTACCGGAGGGTAGTTGACGGTCAGGATGTTATAGATTGATAAGGCGATACGTGTGTGAAGAGTGCAAGGGGAGAAAGTATCTCGCAGCTGCGGCTGTGCGTTAAGTATATGTCAGCAGCGCGTGAACGACAGCACGGCATGAGTTAACAAAAGGATACTCAAGATCAGCATCTTCGTCTGCTGATCGAACGCCAGCACCTCGCCCTCGATCTCCTTGTCATAACAGGTTCTGCATGCCACGGTACTCCCAATGCCGAAGTAATCGCTGACGCCGGCCATTTTTCACTACACACCACCACACCGCAGGCCAGACCAGCCAGAGACGACTCTCTCTCTAGAGCTACTTAGTAGAGAGAGAACGGAACGACGGGACGGGGCCTCTCTCTTTTTATCTTTTGCTTTACTATCCTCTCGTGACTCTCTCGTGCGTGTGCTCCGCTTTTTCTCTCTATCTCTCTTCCTCTCCTCCCTTCGGGTTGAGTTTAGAGATAGATGATGATGGATAGAGTTTAATACACGTATATACACTTATGCACGCGAGAGACAACAGAAAAGGCTGGGCGAGACTTTTCTTTTTTTTTTGTCCTCGCGGTACTTACTTACCCCCCCGCGTAATCAGCGCGGCACGCTGATGGGACCTATCCGGTCGACGGAGCCGAGGGTGGCTGGTGCTGCCACCTACTTTTTGTTTTGTTTTGCTTGCTGCAATGTGCGCTATATAAATTTTATTAATAATGTGTGTTTTTTGTTAAGCTAATTTAAGAAGATATACTAATTTTTCAGGTTTTTTTTTTTTTTTTTAAATTATCTACTCGAAGGCAGTCGTCAAAATTCAGTGAATTTTGTTCTGCATTTCAATATTTACGACGCGATACGAACGTGGTCTTGTCTTGAATGATTTATCGGTTAGAAAGTTCTTGGAGAGAATACTGATATATATGTATATTTTTTTTTATCAATGATATCAAAGTCAGCGATCATTTTGCGATCAAGTCAAATCTCATACCAATTATCGTGAATGGAGTATTAAAAATTACCTACCGTAGGTTAATGGGGTTCTTATTTTACCTCCTTCGCTCATCTCCCAACTCCCAAATCTCCCGCGCGGTTAAGTTCGGAGAGTCACGAACCCCCTGAATCCCGAATGGAAATAAATCGATAAAAAATTTTAAGTACCTATTGACATCTGCTAAATACTTTATACCGTCATTTGTATTCGAGCCAGACCTGGTCTATCTCTAGCCAGCTCGGCCCGGACAGTCCTCTGATCACATCGGTATTGGTGTATGAATAGCACATTGTGTATCGGAAGGGACCGGTTAGGCATCCCACTCTCTACTTAAACGTACCAATATATTCTCCTTTTGTTTTAATTGTCAAGTTGTATGTTGTGTATCATACAAATATATACGATAGTTATTTAGGTTGTGTTCGAAAATTGCCGATCATCACCTGGATCGTTCGCTCCGTAATTACAAATAAATTTTTACCGGTTGCAGATCTGATACTCTTGTATTCTGTTGTTTTCTATCAAACCTATTCAATTTTCCGTATATTTTTGGAACAATCGATCTAGGCAACGAACGGTAATTTTCAAACGCCCCCTTACCTCTGCAAGTACTATTTTTGCTAGATTCGGGCGCCTCTTTAATATAAGCACTCAAATCTCAGGGGTGGTATTCCGTAACTTTTTTTACCATGCGTGCCTATGTTATAGCATAGGTTGGTGTACACAGTAAAATAGTTACGGCATACTACTGTTGTAGAATTTAAAGAACGTTTATTCCAATGGCAATGGATATGCTTGTATTTGGATACGTATTGCACGGTGATAAGCGCGCGTAACGATTTATACATTAGTTCAGATCGCATATATCCACAATTACAATATGTTTCATTGTATTGAAACGTATTTAAATAATTTAAAGTAAATTTAATGAAAAAACAAATATACTTTATGAATGCGTTGCAGTTAAATTTCTTAAAACTACGAGAAATCAGGATGATAACGATCACAATCGGTAAAAGTATGTAACACCCAAAAAACTGCAAATAAACGATAGGTTAAAGAGAAATTGTTATTAATTTATAACTATAAATAATTGCTAAAAAAAGGCAAACTGTGACTATGTCTGTCGGCAAATCAAATTCCTGGATAGGCTTTTTGTGTCGACGACCGTTCATTTATCGGTGATCGCAGGTTTCTTCGTTTTCCGCCTTCTTGTACTTATATAATTATATGTTTTTCAATTTGTTTAACGCACACACTCGACGAATATGAACATCATCTATCATTTAATCATCCGATATATTTCAGCACCTCATTGTACGCGTACCAAAAAAAAAATCCGTACAAGTACAACTCCACAATGCTGTACATATACCGATCTTGAATCGATCGTCAAACAAAATCGAACCTTCGATCAACACCAATCAACTTTCAAATGCGATCAAGTTTGATTATAAACGCGTACTTTCTTCCCCATTGATGATGATTGTTTTCGCCCTTGCCCTACTGACTTTTATTTTTATAGGTACCCTTTCGAAGAAGGATCGCCCGCAAGTCGCTACGGTAACAAATCATTACAAACATATTTGCTTGACTTTTATTATTATTGTTTGTTTTCAACACGTGTTTCGCCTACATCTTTTTTTTTTTTTTTCACAACTCTCAGCAGTTAAATAGATTCCACGCCGCATACCAATTGTTCGAAAATTCTCCGAAACTCCGAAAATGATTGATCATCTGCATCCCTCGCATCCTTGTTTGTGGGGAGAACCGAGCCCAAGAAAGAGAGAGAGAGAGAGAGAGAGAGGGAAGTATCTGCTTTGTAAGTAATGCAGGGGAGAAGAGCAAAAGGGATCGCCGTCGCGCGCCTTTTTCCACACCGATGGGCACGAGTGTTGTATGTGGTCGTAGGTTTCACCCCCTCCTAATGTAGGTTGTACCTTACATAGAGACCTTCTGTGTCGCGCGAGCCTTCCCCCGAGGTTTACTCGACCAAACTGGCATGTCAGAAAAATAATCTTTTTCACCGCACAATATACACCCGCACCTACATACCGAATGTCTCTTCCTACTCCTCCTCCGCCACCACTGCTACGTCCGCGCTCGTTGTATCGTATATTATACACCCTGCACTTGCAACCCCGACTCCGAAAGAACGCGAATGAAAAGTGAAAGCGGCCGGCAGTGCACGATGCAGCGTTCCATCGGGGAAGAGATTCGAGTACAACCTGGCAACCTACCCTATATCAACAACGCACGCGAGTGAATATACATGCATGCATGCATGCATGCATATATATATATACACATCGTGCAGGCGCGCCAATAAGGGGTGGTACTAGACATATGTATACTTACGTGAGTGTGAGATGAGAAAAGCAATAAGTAGTGGAACAAGTGCCGTGTGTGCGTCCGTGTTTCCCGTGTGTACTATACGTTATTTTACCCATATGTATACAGATATTAAGCACGAGACTGAGTAGAAGGAGAGAGAGAGAGCAAAAGGACTATATTATAAACTCGCTGCATGTGCTCCCGGATTACGGTTCTTGTTACCTCATCGACTCAATAACACGTATATATACGTACACGAGGCATGCGTTTGCCAACGCATTTGGCTGACGCGGAGGAGGTAAGCCTATTACAGTTGATGGTCTTGGTTATACTGGTGTAATAATAATAATAATAATAATAATAATAATTTTATGATCTGGCAAAAATCGTGACATGAGTATTTTCGAATAAATCGTTTCTTTCCTGATAGTCTTGCTTCTCACCCACGCTTTTACCTTTTTCCAACAGTATTGCAACAGGGTTGATGGGGATTCCCCCTTTTTTTTCAAACAATTTGAAAAAGGTTCGAAGAACACGCCAACAATTAAATTTACAGCTACGTCTCGCTGTTGGTGATTTTTTTTTTTTTTTTTTTTTTTTTTTTTTTAAAAAAATTTTGCGGCCCAAAAATTTTTTTTTTGGGGCCCTTTTTTTTTTTTTTTTTTTTTTTTTTAATAAGTACGTGGCTCAAAATAGTTTGAGCGAGCGTAGCTCATACTCTCCGTGCAGCCATATATACCTATATCGTGATTTCAAAATAATGGCCCCTTCTTTCCCTTTTTCACGACTCATTTTAACACGCTACATATTATTAGTCGTTACCAATTTGTCAATGCAAGAAATTAGAGAACGGGGGAGGAAGGTTTACGTAACATATACTCAACGATACAGTAATTTCGCGAAAGATTACATGAAAATTGCCAAGTCTCGGAAACAAAGGCGACCGTGAGTACCCGATAATTTTCATCTCAAAGGAAAAGTAGCCGGCAGGTGTACTTGCGCGTTGTAAACAAATTTTAACGTCAGTCAAATTGCAAGCACTTAATGTCGAGCACCCACGCGTGTAACGATCGCCCCCAAGAATATATAATATACCAAAGCGCACGCGATACCAGGGGTATAACGTACACTGCTGTCCAACTTCTAAGTATTTCTTTTCTTTTTTTCATTTTCTTACCTCATGTGTACACACACGAATATGAATCGCCAATGTTTTGTCAATATACACGCAAGAATGCCATTGTCGAGCCGCCGATTGCACTTATAAATAACCCGTCGTTTTTTATATCACGCGCGACTACTTGGAACACCAGTGTCAAATCGAGCCGAAGAAATAAATACTCGACGATCCCGTGCCTGTGTCGCCGTAAAAATCGCTAATCGGCAAACCGATCGGATCGATAATCCACGGCAGCGTCGCGCGCGGGCATGTCATTTCCTTAAAAATCGATACCCCTTGGGTTCTCGTGCACCAGTGAAGGAGCAAAGAGGGAGGGAGGGTTATTACAGTCCCGTCGAAACACGCACGTGGACGGACAAATGACAAGTCCGCGACTGCACTTTTAACATACTATGCATGTACGAAAGCCATCACGAGGCTAGTAACACACAGCACGGGAGACGCTGACAATATTATCGCAAACACGTATGTACATATGTAATGGGATGGCCGTGCTAGTACGGTGGTAGCGGTCGAGAAGCTTGGCTCGCGCGCGCGTTAACGCATCAGGATCGTGTGCAACTCGCGTCGGTGAGTTAGATTTTCTCCGGCGATTGTACTATTCTCGCAATAAAAAAAACACCAAAGTATTTAACCGATTTTTAGTTTCAAGATTGTTAACGATGATTTTATTTGCACGTCAGACCGAGCTGTCCATCAAAGGTGCAGAAAGGGACGAAAAACAGCGAGCCGCAATGCCGAACGCAGCAAATCGATGCATCCTCCTCGAGGACGTGAGCTTCCTCGAAGATATGCCGGTGGGTAACGATCTCGACAAATACCGGGCGCTGGCATCCTTCAATTGGAAACGCTTGCGAGTTGTTTTCGAGGACCCGGATAAGCTGCGGCTCAAGGTAGGTATTTGAATTTGTTACCTTTGGTAACTCGTGCAAAAGTGGGTTTCCCTAAGGTATATATATGTATCATGTGCTTCTATAACTGCAGTAAACGTCACGTGGTTGGAAAAGTAGGGAAAATTAATTTTTTGGAAATTTTAATCAGCTCCAAATGCATTTACCGTATTTACAGTAACTATTAATCACTCTAAATTTTCAAACTGCGGTTATACAGCGTGTGCGCTGTCGGCTCGTGCGTTAAAAAACGATAAGTATACGCGTTGATACGTATTTGTTTTTGCAATAGCTAAATTTTTATCCCCAAAAAATATCACGTCGATCTGATCAACTTTAAGATGAGTTAAATAGCAAAATCGTAAAAATTAGTTAGCAAAATTGTAGAACTTGTCTTGAAAAATCTTTTCTTCCTCTATAGTCAGTTTTGATTTTGTTTTTCTTTTTCACTTAGCATTTTAAATCTCAGCTTGAATAGCTAACAGACCGTCGGATGACGGACGCGTCGAGGTATCGTTAAATACTTGTAGCTTACCATCCGCCGATTTCGAAGGGTTTCGTCCACTGCATCACATATATATATTTTATAAGATATTATACATATACCATGTTGCTATGGCAGTCAGTTTTAATGATTCTTGTGCAACTTTTCATTACACATGTCCAACTTATTTAATACCCAAATTTTTGTAGAATCCAATACTATTATTACATCTGTCCATCACGCAAATCGTTCATAATTTAAATTGAGCGGTTCGAAAAAAAAAAAAAAAAAAAAAAAAAAACTATAGATAGAGTTCACATAGTTAGCAATACAATACCGGCATATCGGTGGACTATTGATACGGCCATCAATATTCAATGGCATGATATCTATGTAGTATCGTTATGGATATATCGATGTATCGGCTTGTTCGTTATAGTATAGCGATCGGTAAGATATCTATGGGGTGTCCGGAATGGATATGTACGGAAATCGGTCATGTGATACTGATACCACCGGTGGAATGTCTTTGTGTTAATCTTTACAAATATACACACTAATTGTTCAAATTAGAAACTTATTATTATTTAATACTATTTAATATCCGTTACCATCTTTTACCATACATTCAATCTCATTAAGTTTCAATGGACTACTATTTAAAAAAATCTCAGGTTCAAACGATTTCCATTTTTCTCGACGTATAGCACTTTTGATATGTAGAAAATTCCATACCGATCTTTATGCGAAAAACAACCTTTATGCGCTGACAGGTGATTGATAGGTGGACGCATTTAATGGTAGAGCATTGCGCTCGGATGTACCTATGCTAATTTCGGATGATTTTTGTTTCCGACGTGCACGCGTGGCTTTACGTCGCTTTGAAAATAAAAAATTCACGTGGAAATCGGTTTCCGGGAAATTTACACTTTTTGTCGATTTATAACTTATTTCGAGCGTTTGCAACAAGTTGAAAGATTAAAAAAAAAAAAAAAAAAAAAAAAAAAAAAAAAAAAAAAAAAAAAAAAAAAAAAAAAAAAAAAAAAAAAAAAAAAAAACCAATAATGTCTAGATGCGCCTGTGGAAGGCCATGGAAGCGGACCCGGAGTACCATCCTCCGAACGGCGTGGCACTGAGCGCGGACGAGCAAAAACGACGCGCGGCCCGGCAACTCGCACGCCTGCATCACCAGAAACTATTGCTCGGCGATCTCAGCAAACTCAACTACAGAACCAAGGTAAGTTGCAGTGCCACGTGTCACATTATTATCAATCCTCGCTCGCTGTTACCATCCACAGAGTGAACAATGAAACAATCGATATGCCGATGTGTATGTGTTGCTTTTTTCTCAGACCGAGTTTATGATGGTACTGAACGAGGCCACCTGTCTCATCGATCCTACCCTCTCCGTGAAAATAGCCATCGGCGTCTACCTCTTCAGCAACACCATTCTAACACTGGGCACCGAGCGACACCTGCCTTTCTTCCACGCGGTCTTCAACAAACAGGTGTGTGACGTTTATCGTTTCATACAAACGCTAAAACGTAACAAATTAATAATAACAATGGAAATGGTAACAATCTGGTATCCTTGTCCACAGATGCTGGGTTGTTACGCCTTGACCGAAGTCGCTCACGGTAGCGACACGAAAATGATGCGGACGACCGCGACGTACGACCCGAGTACCCGAACCTTCGTGCTTCACACTCCGGACTTCAAGGCAGCCAAATGCTGGGTCGGCAATCTCGGTAACGCAACCCACGTTTCATACATTTTACAATCCACCGTGCCAATTATATGAATGTGCAAGCTCCTTTTGACCGAACGATTGAAAAAAAAAAAAAAAAAACAGGCAAAACAGCGACGATAGCGATAGTGTTCGCGCAATTGGTCACGCAAAACACCCACCACGGCCTTCACGCGTTCGTCGTACCGGTGAGGGATCCCAAGACGTACCTGTCTTATCCGGGAGTCATAGTCGGCGACCTCGGCGAGAAGAATGGCCTCCACGGCATCGACAACGGCTACGTCATATTCAACAACTACAGGATACCGAGGGAAAATTTGCTCAACAGGGCGGCCGAGGTCACACCCGAGGGCGACTACGAGAGCTCGTTCTCCGACCCTCACAGGATTTTAGGTGGTTACTTTTTCTTCGGCTTTTGCTACATCGTCTCCATTGTTTTACCAAAATGACGTGAATTTATTGATTTGTGCAAAAAAAAAAAAAAAAAAAAAAACCAGGAGCCGTGCTGGAGAATCTGTCGGCCGGTCGGATAGGGATCTGCCAGGAGTCGACCAACAGGCTCGGTGCCGCTGTAATTATAGCCGTTAGGTACGCCGCTGTGCGGAAGCAGTTCTCCAACTCGTCTGTAAATAGTAACGAAGAAACTCCGATCCTCGAGTACGAACTGCACGTGGGTATTGCTAACTCGTTAACCAGTTCGGTAATTTGGAATGTTTATCTGAAACAAACAAAAAAATATCATGTATTTTTTTTTTCAGCAATGGAGACTGTTTCCTTATCTAGCTGCGGCCTGCGTGTTCAAACTTTTCATGACGGAGTTTACGAATTTGTATTTAGAAAATGTACAAAAGTCGATGGACGGAGAGAACATACCGAATCTCGTGGGTATTTTTTGGTTTTTAGTGTAGTACAGGGTTATTTGCTCAATACAATGTTAAAAACAAAAAAAGAAAAAAAATGTTTGCTCTACAGAGTCAGATAGTGTCAGAAATCCATAGTATGGTGTCGGTGCTGAAACCTCTGTTAACGTGGACTTGCCGGGACGCGATACGAGAGTGCAGGGAAGCTTGCGGAGGTCACGGCTACCACAAAAGTACGTTGTACGCACAATCGAATAAGATCAATGGAAAAAAGGATTTTATTTATTTACGATGATTTAATTGCGCGATTTAGCGGCAGCTCTGGGTGACATGGCGGCAAACCACGAGCCATCGGTCTCGTACGAGGGCGATAACAACGTGCTGATTCAGCAAACGAGTAATTGGATACTGCGCCAGTGGAACGACTTGCAAAGTGGCTCGACTACTACCATCAGTCCTTTGGCTTCTCTAAAGTTTCTCGTTCATGGGCCCAAGATTCTACGAAAGAAATTCGATCCGCATGTCGAGGCACGGCTAACGCTGGATTGTAAGCCCATTGCTGTATTTTCGTTGCATCATCGTGACGCACGGGCTTACCGATTTACAATAGCGCAATATTTATTTTTACAGTCGTCCGGGACGCCTACGAGTGGCTGATAACGTGGCTCGTCAGCGAAACGCAGCGAAAGTACGAGGAAGAACTGGCCAATGGCGCAAACAACTTTACAGCTCGCAGCAAGTCGCAGGTCTACAGAGCGGCTCATCTTTCTAGGGCATACGGGGAGGTGAGTCTTGATTTCCAAGAGACACCACATGTTTTCGTACAAAGCCTTTTAATATTTATGTCCGTTTAAAATTTTCCAGAGGATAGTCACAAGTTATTGCCTCGTCAGACTGAACAAGACGATACCAGAGGCGCCAGAAGCGGCGAGTTTGAAAATTGTTTTGAACAAACTCGTGCTCTTGTATTCACTGTGTTGCCTAGAGAAGCATTTAACCATATTTTATCAAGGTGGGCAATCGTGGTTACCATTTTTTACATTTCATCCAATTACCGAATGATTTTTTTGTTTTGTTTTAGGTGGCTACTGTACCGGACCTCGGATGGCCGCTTTGGTCAAAGAAAATATACTAAATTTATGCGCTGAAATAAAACCAGAGGCCATCGCAATAGCCGATGCCTTGGCTCCTCCGGATTTTGTTTTGAACTCTGTTTTGGGGATGTCGGATGGAAAGGTTAATCATTTCACGCTTCCCCGTCCCGCCTAAATTATGCCAAAAATGATATTTTACATTGTTGTTAGGTCTATGAGCGTCTCGAGGAGGCCTTCCGATGCTATCCAGGTGGATCGGAAAGAGCGAACTGGTGGTCCGAGCTGTTGGAAGTGGCGGACAAGCCGTTGATCGTTCCAAAGTCAAAGCTTTGACGAATGTAACACGCTTGTTGTCGTTATGGCATGGCCACTACTTTTTTGTCCAACCAATGAGTGAAAAGCACAAAAAACGCTGATGTCGCATCAATTTTTAACAATGTACATTTTTAAAATACCACCTACCTTAGCATATTTTTTGTATGCTTATGTGTGTATGCATTGTTTTTATTGTGTTTTAATTTTTTTTTTTTTTATTACTATATACGTACTTATGAGCATGATTACCATTACTTATTAGTAAGTTACCGGAATTGTAGTTTTGTGTACTATTTAGGAAGTACCTAAATACAGAATGAGGCTGTTTTGCGTGCAAAAATTTTTATGAATATATAACGATACTTAAGTGTTGAATTTTCTATTATTTATAACATTTTAGAAAAATCAGGTGTTTGAACGCATTATTATTTACTTGTAAAAATTTAATATAACTACCGAAAAAAAAAAAAAAAAAAAAGAGAAAGAAAGAAAAAGAAAAATACTTTTTGAGACAATATTGGCATGTGTATATTTTTAATAAAGATTGCGCACTGAATTGAATTTTGTTTGATTACTATTTACCAAAACCATTGCTCACTTGTACATAAAATTCAGTCAAATGAATTCTTCTGAGTCCATTAGTGCACTAATATTTTTACTTCTCGAGGAATTCTGATTATTCATGCAGATATACACAGTGTTCACCATCACCCTGTGGAAATAATGTTTTTGAATCACTGTTTTTATGGTTAGGTATATTAGTAATAATAATACTCTCCACCATCACTATTAATATAAAGTAAAAGAGACACAAGAAAAAGAATAATTTGTTACCATTACAATTCGTAAAAAGTCTCTAAGAAAAACAGTCCAGATTAACTTGTTTTCATAACTTTTCATTCGTACTAAGTAGCAGTAGCAGTCGTTGTGTTCATTATTACTAAATTTCATGTAAAATACAGCTTTTAATATTGAATGTGTTGAATAAACATTTAAAATACACTTTAAATATTTGAACAATGAAACCGTTCAGCGTATGAATATGAAGAATCTTACGGTAGTAAGGTTATCGCATTAGTGAAAATTTGTATTTGTTATTAATAAATCTTATTTTAAATAAAGTGTTCATTGTTTGGCGTAGTAAGTAAATAATAATAATGTACTGCAACAGGGGATGATGCCACGTTATTGCATGTTAATTAATAATTGACCGAAAAAATGTGAAAAAAAAATTTTTTTTCGTCGATTTCGTGTTTTGTCGATATAAATTGTCCTTTTACAGAAAAGTATGTATGTAGTAGCAGTGTTAAATGTAAGTACCGAGGTGTTAATTTCACTTGAATTTAGGCGCCAAAATGGGAGAGGACCGAGCCGCTAGCCGCCGACGTCCACCGCTACGCTTCGCCCGCAGCGATTTTGCACCGCTCGCAAGTGTTATGCGAGAACTAGCTTTATAAACTCGACAAAAAAAGTGAATCGTATTCCGTTTGATAGTCTCTTGGCTACAAACATCACACTCATTGTGAATGGACAATGAACAGTTCCTCACTGTGACTGCTGGGTCAAACCTTGATACCGGAAAACATCCTTCATAGCTACACATTCCTCAACGAATGGTAGCCAGTTATGCACCATCATAACATGCTACGTAGCATGCTCCTCACTGATGCCTGCCTTAGGTGGCAGGTTAGTAACAGCATGGACCACCTTTCTCAACTGATAGGAATAAGGTGGCCATCCTCATCTAGTCTCATCATTCGTGTACGTACCCCATTACGGGGACGTACACTGCAATCTAACAAAAAATAAAAGGTCCTCATTTCTTTCAGAATTAGACATGACGAGTACCTTATTGCTCTTGTGAGGGGGCTCTCTTATCACCCTTTTTCTTGATGACTGGACTGGACGGGGGCATTTTACTAGTCTGCACTGAAGTGGGCTTAGGCGGTCCAACACTACAGACAGATTTATCGTGTGCCACTGACACTGACGCTGCTGCTGAGCAAATCAAAGCCTTAGCTTTTGTCACCAATTAAGACTTCAAGGGGCTGCAACTGCCTCTTTCAGTGGCTCGATCGAAAGCTCAATTGAGCGGACCAGCTGCGCAGAAGTAGTCTATTTTCTTCAGCTGAGGCAAGGGACGTATACTAAACGACCGGTGTCCTGTGTGGTTGATTGCAATCCAAGCTTAGCTAAGGTTGTTTGTTCATTTAAGTACATAGGAAAGCCTATCAATGTGAGACGAGAAGCCAGATCACAAACAGTACGTCGCCTTAGAGCAGCCCCAACCGAACACTACAAAATAAGGCTTACAGATAAAAAAGACCAAGGGAAAGTATATGCCTGCACGTCCCGCTCCAACATTGCCAACTAATTCCTGAGAAACGGGAGCTTTACCGGAAAACAGATATCAAAAAAGTGCACTACACAAGTACACACGAAGCGGTTGCACGCCGAGCTTTCATTTTTTCAACACCACCTCCTGTTACACATTGACTGTGGCGTGGCCTGAGTTAAAAGCTCGCGCGTCACCTCTTGTTTTGCATTTTGATTCGAAAGTCACTTTAGCAATTTTTTTTAATTTTTTTATCAAAAGTATCTACTGTTAAGCTCACGGAATTTTTTACATACCTAAGTACTTACAATATAACCTAGCAATCGTTGAAAAAATGATCCGTCGGAAAAAATGAAGAGACTTGAAAATTACTAAGCATTCGTTTTATTAAGATACTTTTATATTGATATAAAGGGCATTATTAGCGTTGCGCCTCGGGTCTCCGTTAAATAAATAAATATATATCAGTGTTGTAAAAAAAAAGAGGTTACTTCTTAGTAATACATTGCATAAAAATACGAGTAAAACACGTACAATTCGTTTTCTCGTTTTCGGGGAGAAAGTTTAACTGACAATTTTAATAAACGCTAGAAAAAAAAAACAGCAATTTAAACAATTTTTCCTCTGTGATAAAATAAGAAATCTAGAAAATTTAATGCCTTTGACTTGATAAACGTAGTAACACCCTATAAATTGCATGCCTTACATTCATAAGACAAGTTACCAAGTTTTAGGGTAATAGGTGGTGTTAAACACTTTGCTTTCACTGAGAAGTTACTTTTATAGAGAGATTCCATATTTGTGCATCTCAATGGCATCAAAAGTACTATGTGCTTCAAACAATTAATGAGCTAGGTTTTTAATTTCTAAATCATGCAACGTACTAATGTACGAGAACAAAAGTGTTTGAAACACGCATTTTGCTATTTTTAAAAAGGCTCACATCTTACTCTCTATACAGTCAATTGAGCGTCCAATCTATGAAACCATATACTCAAATTGACGTTGCACCAAAAATTAGTGGTTGGAGTTTAAAAAAAAATTTATTTTCAAGTAAGCTCACTTTTTAAAACCTTTTAAATTTTCCTACTTTTAATGAAAACTTGAAAATTAGTGCGGGAGTAGGTACTTGTTTCCCAGATCATCGCGAACCATTTAATTTGCCAAATAATGAATTAGCTCTCACGAAAATGTCCAGAATGAAATTATTTCATTGTATCCTTGAAGAGAGTGTAAGTATGTCGTTGTTTTCACAAATTAAGTAATGCAGGTTTGTAAATTGGAAAAGGTGTCACAACCAATAACAATTTATATTGTTACGGACTGTAAAAACCAAACACGTCCTTTCAAGATGTTTCACGGATAAATATATAAAATATGTTGCAGTAATGCGCCGCTTCCGTGTTCTTCTTTTTCAAACACGTGCGTTCGCGGCTGCAGATTTCTCAATTGTATACCAAATAACCTCGAGCAAATATAACGTGAGCCCCCCCCTGACAAATGCTTCCGCGATCGGCAGTACGTCCAAGCTATACCGATTATCAAAACAAAGAGCAAACAAAAAAAAAAAAAAAACGACAACCCGTGAGATTTCGACGCTTTCGGTTGCCCAACAGCGTGAGATAAAAGCGCGCGGGTGTCCCCGGTCATCCGTCAATTCGATCACGGATCGTCGTGCACGAGCCTCGTCATCATGGACGTTAAAACTTTGCTGCGATTCGCATTTTTGATTGTTGTAGCTGAGCTACTATCCGAGCCGTGCGATACTCATCTGATCGCCCCTCAGCCTTACCAGTAAGTAATATATACACAATAATAATACGTGTGTCATTTTACAAAAAAAAAAACAACAATTTTCCATGCCCCAGTTGATTGGGTTTACAAAATTTTCGAAATAATTTTCAATCAAGTTATAACAGCAATTGCTTACGATTTCCATTAAAAAAGTGGCTCAACTGGTATTACGGGCTCGCGTTTTATTTCGAAATATTTTAGAGCATCAAAAAAAATGTGTCTTCAATACTTACGCGGAAACAGCTTTCGCAGATGCACGCAATTGTGTTTCGTCGCTCCAATTCGAACGTTTTGTATTCCACGGAGGTTCCGCGTATTGCAGACCTTATTTTCAAACTCTTCCATCACGTGTTTGGATCATGTACAAATTAAAAAAAAAAAAAAAGAAAAAAAATTATATACCGGTTTTCGTAAAATGGCTGTTATTTATTACATGTACAAATGTTGAAAGTAACCCACATAGCGAAAAACACTTCAAGTAATTCTGATGAAACCCTAACCGTTGAACCGCAGGTTTCCAAATTTCGCTTACCTACCGGAGCCGACCCACATTGGATTTCCCGCACCTTCGAAAGCCGTGCCCCAGTACTTGACGCGACAGTTCCGCTCCGATCAATTCAGACCACATGACGATCACGTCTTCTTCGTGCCACCACCACCACCACCAACAATACAGCTTCTCCAACCCCAGTTCCGCCAGGAGGCACCCCCGCCAATTTCCCCGCCCGTCCAGGCGCTCTACGCTAATCGACCCCAAATGATCCCACAACCACCACCCGCATCGTCACCACGGATGGGAAGACAGTTGTGTCCTTACGCAGCTGCTTCATCAACTCCTGGTAGATTTCCAGCTCTACCTTACACCCCCAATTGTGCACAGGCTTCCCAATCCGCCGGAGCCATGAATCAGGGACTGCCGGAGCTTCGGCTCGACCCCAGGAACGAGCTGGTCAAGGTCTCCAACGGGCACGCGTACAAGATCTCCGAGCCCATCTCCGGGGGATCTAACCTCGTGCCGGTGGACGTCAAGGGACACCGCGACGAGAACTACGGAAAGGTATTGGATTAAGCATTGTAATTATCACGAAACTCGGTGCAATAATATATGGTGTACTTGAAAAATATACATCCTCGTTCTTTGGTCACTGCCAAATTATACAGCTGCGGAACACGGACAGGATGTACGTGGTGTTGGACCAAGACAACGGCAGTAGAGAAGAGCCCCCAGTCGGTAACCACGAGGGCCACTTGCGCCCCGAAGACATACGCAAGCTGCACGACGTGATCGAGACTATCATCGAGATTGCCCAGATGGGGAAGATGGTGCGGCAGGGCGAGGATGCAGTGGAGTCCAGGACCAGTGTGGACGGACAGCAGCGGCCCGAAGTTGTGATTCACGATCTGGTGTCTGCTAGAGCTGCTGCTGCTGCCGTGGCGCCACCATCGACTGTTGGTCCCATCGCGAGCCCGGATGACCCGAGTAGAGTGGCGTCACCGGCAGGTGATGGCGATATTATTGGGAGCGAAGGCGCGCAAGTGAAGGAGTCTACGGTGGCTGCGGGGAGTTCCGCTGACGAGACAACCGAGATGACCAGGTACGCGGTTACGCCCGCGACTCGCTGATTCGAGTTGTCTGAGGATTTTTACATTGGGATGAATCCATCGACTCTTTTTTCTTTGTGATACTCACGAAACACATTTTGTGTTATTAAGTATTATCATCATGCGAATATTGTAGATGTATTGTGTTTTTTAATGCGTTTATTTTTTCATTGCTGTGTTGAAGAAAAATTAATCATCGTTTGAAAATAAATTATAGAAAATTTTACACGTTTACGTGAACGTTGTTTCGATTTTTAATCGAGTTAACATAAATACAAAGTATACGAGTTTGGCAATGTGTTGCATTGGTATATTTTGTGGCACAATATTTATGGTCTAAGCTCTTGGACTCTAATATCCAGGGTCGATGCGTCATAATTTCATTAGATTAGTAAATCTAATAATATTTACTTGTACGAGCATGCATGAATCCTTGATTATTTATTTTTTTAAATTTACGCATCCTATACAACATATTGTATTGAGTATAAAAAAGTCACTTTCAACACTGAACGGTAAATAATCGATATATATTTTAAAACACAATGGTTATTCAACATTTTTATCGATTGCTACATCGGCATGCTTTCGCAAAGTTCGTGTATTGCGTCACTTGAATGTTGCTTTAGATTGTATTTTTCCTAACTGTTTAAAAACATCAGCATTTAAAATCACTGATCGGTACTTGTATGTTAATTAATTTTTGAAAATGACTGCACATCAAAAGAATCAAATCAAATAAATCTACTTGAAGAGTTGATCATTTAAGACTCGCAAAAAGAACGAAGCTCTTCTTGACACGAAATTAAAAAATCAAGGTTTTACCAAGGCACGCTGCCCGAAAAAAGTTATAAACGAAGGCATATGGAAAAAATAGCATTCAACTTTTTTTTTTTTTTTTTTACTGCACCAAGAGCTAAAATACATACAAAAAGTATAATTAATTCAAAGGAATTTACCACTTGTTACAATGCAACATACTTATTTCGATCAACAGAAAGGAAAAGCAAAAATGCTCGTTGCAAAAGTTATTCCAAAAAACACGAGGCAGGTCTCATCGTCGTATACAATTTGCAAGACCCGCACAATCCATCCCTTCGGCGAAAACGCACGGGCCATATCCTCGAGCTTTGCGAAATCCCACCGCGTCAGCTCGACCGCGATCCCCTTTAAATACCGATTTACCGATCGGCATCGGCGTCAGTCACCGAGAACACGTAGATCGTAATAATTCGCGTCGAACAATCAAAGAGACAAGATGCGCAAGACTCCAAGCTACGTGTGGCTGCTCGTGTTCTGCTACGGCCTCGGACCTGCACTCGCCGTTCCCGTAGCCCGGAAAACCGAGAAGAAACTCGTCGAGTCGGCCCACCTCCCGGACACAGCCTTACTGGAGGGCCTCGACGCCACCGACCACGCCCGGGCCAAAAAACAGGCCAGCACGACCGTTTGCATGCACATCCATCATCATAACAACAACAGCAATACCGAGTGCGCCAACTACAACGGCGTCAACTTGCCCGTACAGCCGAACAAGAACCAAGTGCCATCGCACCCGAAGCCACAGGGGTATTCCGGCTATTCGGAGCAGCCCATTTTTCCAAACCTCATTTCGCACGGGCTGGTCAATCCATGGATGCCCATGGGCTACAGTGGCATACCCATGTATCCGAATCCCTGTCCGATGCATTTCGAGGGCCAGTGTAACTGCCCGACCAACCAGACCAAGTCCGGTGACGTCGAGTTGACGCCCAAGATGTCCAAGGACTCGGCCCAAATGAAGGACGCCGACATGGACAGCCAGGAAACGGTGAGTGTTGTAACGAAGCAGGGTCTACTTTTGAACCTTGCAACTTTTTTTTTTTTTTTTTTTTTCATCCGTCGATTTCACGAGTAATTTTTGGTGTGGTTTAATATGGACGATTTGATGACATTGTCGTTGTTTTCTCGTAGCAAAAACTCGACGACGCTAGTGCGGAGGTCCACGAGTCGAGCTCCAGCCGGCAAAGTCGGCACTACGTGCAAGAAGAAGAAGAAGATCCCGTCGACGCTGCACCCGAGACTAAGAGCGAGCATCTCCAGGAGGCGGAAAAGGTGACCAAAATGATCAAGAGGATGGTAGATCGGGACGAGAGGATCTTGAGGAGCCAGCGCATGGTCGGCTCTTCTGTTCAGAGCAAGTGAGGGCTACCGATGGTTGTACGTTGGTTTTTTTTTGTTTTTTCAATGGTTTGCGCATGAATACGGTCACGTAATTCTTTTTGTACATTTTTAATAAGTCTCGAGTGTTTGAATAAAGACACAATTTTTACGAATAAGGGCAACTTCTTTTTTTTTCTTCAATAATATGTATCGTTGGAATCCATGTTATTTTTTGTTCTTAAGATACAGTGTAAGAAATTCAAGGTAAAAATCTTTTTACGCACATTTTTGAACAAAAAGTAGAGCAACGCGTGATTGACGATTGAAACGTCATCAAAATATGTGACGAATTATTTCAACTCGATGACGAAACGTAACGAGTTGTGGTGAGAGTGAGGAACCGATTTGAAGAATTTGCCGGAATGGCATACATTACCCACCGATTTTTCGTACTTGGGACGAGTAAATTATTATACATTTGAAAGAATTTTCCCACCCAGTTCCATGCAAGAAATGAAAAGCACACTTGTTTGAATCGTATAAATTATTGTACAAAAAGTTCATTTTACACGCAATCTTTTATACACACGAGCAAAAAAGAAAGCACTACAAGACGTTTGTAAATTAATAAAAAAAAAAAAAAAAAAAAAAAAAAACCCGCTAATAATTACCTGTATACAGGTAACTTTAAAAATATACCTACAAGCACATATATGCGTATACATTTTAACGCGTAACAACCCAATATACATGTATGAAAACAACAATAAAATAACGGAGAGAAAAAGGGTGCATGGGAAAAGGGTCATTTGTCTTCGTCGTAGCCGTGAGTCCAGGATGGTTTCCTCTTCTCGGAGAAGCTCGATATACCCTCCTGGGCATCCTTTAGCTTCAAATTGTTGACCATGATCTCGGTACCCAGCGAATAGGCGGTGTCCGTGTCGACTTCGAGCTGCTCCTTGACGAACCTCTTGCCGAGACGCAGTACCGAACGGCTCTTTTCGCTTATGGCGTTTGTGATTTTGTCCACCTCTCGCTCTGAAAACCAACGATTTCTGCCCTGATACACATTTTCCGTGTACGAAAGACTGCGCAAATAGAATAAACGATCACGGCTTATACCTAGACTGTCGGTCGACACCAGCTTGCTGACCAGTCCGGCCTGGTGTGCCTCGTGGGCCGATATCGGCAGGCCAGTAAACAACATGTGAGCCGCTACTTTCTTCGGCACGTTGCGGACCAGGGGAATCCCCGGCGTCGAGCAGAATATCCCAAAGTTGGCCCTTCGAAAAAAACAAAAAAAAAAAAAAAAAAAAAAAAAGATACAAAATGATGGAAAAATAGTATCAGCAATTGACATCCAATAGGCGAGTATGTACGCTTACCCTGGAGTGGAGAAACTGCTGCGCTCCGTGGCGACGACAATGTCGCAGGCGGCGACCAGTTGGCAGCCGGCGGCAGCAGCAAGGCCGTCCACCGCGGCGATCACTGGTACCGGACAATCCGCGATCGCCTTCATCAGTTGGGCGCAAGTTTCAAAGACTCGGCGGTGGTGACTCTCCCCGTCGCTCGATTTCTTTCGTCGTGTATACACAAGTATTCAGGGTTACGTTACGATACACGCGCGTGGGTGGACATCTACATGATAATTAATGGATCGGCCATCCTTGAACTAGTCTTTTTTTTTTTTTTTTTTTTTTTTTTTTCAATAGAGTCTTGGAGTTGGGGATACCAACGTGGGGTGCACGTATCATCGGATAGCCCGTGTATACATATTTATAAGCTACGGAAAAGAAAAAAAAAAAACAATTTAAAGGAAGTACGAACCAGCTCCTTGAGGTTGTGTCCAGCTGAAAATACGCTGCCCGGCACGGCGAGTATGACGACGGACCGCAGCTCCGGATTGTCCCCGTCGTGGGTCAAATTGTGCATTATCGCGCTCATCATTCCCAGGGACAGGGAATTTCTCGTACTCGGGTGGCTCAATATTATTCTCCTCACCTGCAGCACGCGCGTCAATTTTATAATTTTCCACATTATTTTTAACGCTTCAACGTATAAAGAGCAAAACAAGTCTATAGGCGTAATCGTGACCATGTTAATTATCTCTCATTGCCGTGGTGTGTTGAACTATTACCGGGAAAAATCGTTGCACACCCTGCAATAACAACGAAATGTTGCTTTCGAAATGTCGAAAGCTATCGTTGTTTAGAAAAACGAGCTCGCGGATACATAATAATTGACAAATGTATATAATGAGCAGTCGCGCGCGCCGATGAGAATACCGATTTTATTGATCTTTCCTCCCTGCCTCTCTTTGATTCAAGGAAAAAAATTGTTTTTTTCACTATCAAAAACGCAAAGTGATAAAAAAAAAAAAAAATAAATAAATAAATAAAGAAATAAACAAACCCCTCGAGCCTGCGTGGTTTCCACGTACTTGTCGGCATCAGCTGCCGGTGATGGTGGACGGGTCGAGAGCAAAGTCCTGCCGGTCGCCAACGACCTTGTAATAGATCGTCCCACCTGCAATGGGAATATACTTGAGTACACACATATATATACATAATATATGTCAATTGTATAGTACAGGAGAGAGAAATAAAGAGAGAGAGAGAGAAAAACAGCGGATCAAAGGAGGACGAATAAGGCGCGAGCGAGCGCGATTTCGAAAATTCTGTCCCTCTCTCCTCCTCTTTCGAGCCCCACCAGATGGGAGAGTAGAGAGTAGCACTCCCCACTTTTAGCGATAAATCGAGAGAAGAGGAGAGAGTGAAAGACTGGTTTCTTTCCGTTGAGGTTATGATGATGATGGGAGCGTGGGTGGTGGCATCAAAATACAACGCGCGAAGGTCAAGGGAGCGGAGACCGGGGTACAATACACAATATATACCATGCACAATTTTTATACATCATGTATACTTGTATTAATTGACTCACCTGGAGGAGATCGGTAAAGATCTGCGCGCGGCACCGGTACAAGGCCATATTTTTTTTTCCCTCCTGCTTTTTTTTTTTTTTTTTTTTTTTTTGTACGCGATTACTGCAGTCCGCGCTCTCGATTGATCCCTCCTCCTCTGCAGGGAGCTGTACAGCAGCAGCAGCTATACTTTTGCGTTCTCCATACCGATCAATCGTTGCGTGGTACCTATACGTGAAGTGCGCGTGTGTACAAAATGTCTATATTTGCGATTATTAAGTAAGCGATCAGTCGGGCAAAAGCGCGCTTGCGTTGCGTATACACATAAAACGTGTGTTGTGCTTTGCGCGCAAATTTTTTAACGGGAATGGGACGAAACGAGATTTGTGTTTATTTGTCCGTGACTGCGAATCGGCTGATTTTTTCGCTCCACGATACGACGTGGGTTGTTTTTGATTATTCAATTCGTAGTTTGGGACGATTTTTTTTCTTTTTTTTTCACAGTAACTAGGTATATCTATACAGTGGTAGTGATGTTTCGGTATATTATCCGATTGACCAATCATTAATGAACAAAGTGAAACGCTCAAAACCGATTTTTTTTTTTTTTTTTTGGTAATGATTTGAAGTTTTGGCTGTGCCCGTCGAGTCGAATGAAAAGCTTTTAGCTGTGCACGCGCGTACACCTGTCATTTCGATTTTTGATAAGCATAAACGTCCAACAATCCACACTAAACGCGTGTACAATCTTTACCGGTTTCTGGAACAAGAGTAACTTGCGAGCACACCATAGTACTCGTACAAAAGCATACGGAAGATCGTAGATCCAACCAAATAATCCTAGTAGCGAAACGAGCCCAAAAAAGCCGCGGAGCTTAAAAACGATCGAGAATTTCCACGCGTCCTCTCCTCGCGTTGTAAGCACGTAAAATATACGACCTCGAGCCTGGGGCTGCGCGCAACCCTGCACTCTGTGTTTAAAATAAAAAAAAAAAAAAAAAAAAAAAAAAANCATTGTCCAGATTATTATGTGTATTTTATAATATTATAATTAAGCTGTGTTATGTTATATTTATCGAGCATGTGACAACCATTTTTGGAAGAGTGGATAAAGAAAAGCACAACAGTCCATGTAGATCATGTCCTTGATAATTTTAACATTTTTTTCGGCATGTCATTGCTTTAAACGACCACGTTTGCACGTACGTTATATTACTCTATGGAAAATGTTAAAATTTGACCATAGACTGGTGTGTTTTTTTTTGTCTTTTTTTTTTTTTTTTTTTTTTTTTTTTTTTCTCCAGCTCGCGCTTTTTATATACGCGCGCCGCGAGCCCCGCTCTTGGAGCGAGAGATGAAGGAGAAGAAAAGAAAAAAAAAAAAAAGTAAGTAAGTATAAGTAACGACGACGCGCGCAGTCCTTGACTACCTAATGTTAATGGTTTACCTGTGTGTATTATACACCTCTAAACATTGCGCGCACACTCGCGTCAAAAGGAGACGAGCGCCTATGTGGGCAGGTAAAAGTGGAGGTGGCCGTATAGAGTATAGGCATCATCGGCCAGACAGGCGCACTACGCGTATCACGTATACATTGCTCGCAACGACCACGACCAAAGTGGATCAGAACTATTATAAAGCGCGGCCGTGCAGTCGTCGTTGCGCCGCTGCTCTCTTTCTGTTTTTCACCGTAAATCGGTACACGCGGATTCACTCATACATTTTCTTTGTTACAGTCAGCGGTAATTCAATACGTAATATCATCGGGATAAGAGGCTTGCTTTTTTTGACAACTGCACAGCGGCGTTTTATGGTGGGTGCCATATATTGCCACGTGGTGCGGGGAAAAGAAAATCGGAAAAATCATCGTCAAAGTGCGCCGATTTTCGATGGAACGCACATCCCGATTCGGGAATGTATGAACGACAAGTGCCTCCTTTCGAGTCAAATGCAGGGTAAAAGCTTCGTGAGTTGAACCACACCGCGGCAAGTGTAAGGCATACCCGAGACGTCAAAAGTTACGGTGGCAATCGATCAAATAAAGAGGAAGGAACAAAAAAAAAAGACCGGACGGCAATGTGGGTCGCAGCCCCGTTTGCGCCCCGATAGGTGTGTGTGCGTGTGTGTATGAAACACCGGTCGCCGAAAACTATGCACCGCCGAATCGATACGAAAAAAGTTTGTTCGCACCCTCCGGCGTAAAAAAAAATACATATACATGTATAATCTGGACGCGCGTGCAGCATCTCCCCCTTTGGCCCGAATCGACGAAACAACTTCTAGGAGAGCCTCCTTTGTAAATACGTGCGCGCGGATGTATGTACGTTACCTGGATCCAGAACGCAATATCGCGTGCGTGGGCTATCGTACTTATATTGTTGTAGCATAGACGCAACCCGCCGATTTTTCTGCACCCCGAGAGAGAGACGAGGGATTAAAGCACATAATTATACACCTATACCTACGGGGAACACAAGTACGTATAGGTCGTCATGACGACGGCCGACGGCGATCCGGCAACAATAACTAACATGGCCGACGACGACGACGACGACGACGACAACGACGATGACAACGACGTGGGTAAGTGTGTTTTGGCTTCTGCTGTACATGTATGTATTTCTCTCTCCGATTGTTTCATATGTATATATGTATAAATGTATACCGTGTACACGTGTCAATTTTCACGCCACCCATCGTCCAGTGCACCGGCGATCTAAAAGACCGCGAAAGAGTAATTTGAAGCGTTCGACCCGGTGATACATGTTTGTTAGGATGTACCCAGTGTTTGAATGAAGTGAGGAAACACCTGTATCTTGCCCCTCCCGTGATTTTGTACACGGATTTGAACGCCCGTCGTCTGCTGCTTGCGGGGATAATATATCAATTACTTATTGGGATGATGCGTCAATAAACATGCATATACATGTATGGGACAGCTGATTGTTGAATGCGCGTGAGATGAGCCACGGGGTTTCCGACGGGAGTCGCTGACATGGACGCGCCTCCGGACAAGTACACCGGTACGGTCTTTCCTCTTCTTCATGCGTTTGTTTAATTATTTTACTTTAATTAATCGCACAGATTTTTTAAACCGACGTAAGCTCGCGCGCTCAACTGTCTATATTGGTTGATCGACGGCGCTTGTAGGTGTAGGAAAAGGCTACTGCATACATTTTTGCTTCCTCTACGCTTATTCAAACGTTGTTCCGTTATATGCTTTGTACATTATTTGTCGTAGTTGCCCAATGTGTCTATTTTCTCGTGTGGATTTTGTTCGAAGGTGCGCGAAAATGCCACCAATTGCTCGAGCCTCTCGCTCTCGAATAATAATGCAGGTGGTGGGTGTCGACGAACAAAATCTAAAAGTCAAAGCAGAGCTATACATCTCCATTGGATTTAGCGCCGATGACGATGATGATGATGGATCCTCTAACCTTCTGTACCCGTGCATTGTATGTGTTTTGTTCGTTCAAGATCGTCTCTTCGGCTTGTTCCCAACACCCAGCAGGCCAAGCCGCGTCCCACATCAATTAAAAGCGCGTCCTGGTCTATTGGCTCGAGTGGCGCCCTTCCACAAAAGTACATGATACACCCAAGTGCCCATGTATAGTCCTCGCATACAGAGGAAAAAAAAAAAAAAAAAAAACTCCTCATGGCTCTCAAACACTTTCAACTCGGGGACAAAACGAGCCTAAGAAAAAAAAGCTCCCTGTTTCTGTATATCCCTCTCTAGTTTTTTGTCCTTCATTTCAAAGCAGCTCGTCTTCAAAATTGAGTACCCGGGTCTTTGAGATTTCTCCTAAAAGCATATACACCCGGCCCATTGATCCAGTCCCTCTCAACGAGAGGGTCCACCGCTACACGGCGATAACGATACGGTCCGCGGTAGCTTCCCGACGAAAATAAACCCTTCCGCGCGAGAACGAAGACAAAGTAAGCGGCGCACCGTATATTATATACACTCCAGCGACAGAGAGAGAGAGAGAGAGTCGCGCACTGCACTCTGTAAATCTCGTGTCGGACGAGCAGTACGGCGGCGAACGTTGGCGGGTGCGGATAAGCGCGCCAGTGGGTTGTACATACGCCGCGACGCGATGGCGATGCTGTGCTGCGTGTCGAGGAAGGCGGCGGCAGGGGAGACGACGGACGCGAGTAGGTCCCGAGCCTCGGTCGAGTTGTCGCGGTTCGTCGAGGTCTGCCGGGACCTGGGCAAGGTGCAGCAGCAACAGCTGGCCGCCGCCACTGGGGAAGTTGACCTATTCAAAAGACTGGACGACGCTGTTTACGACGTCGCAGCCGTGGCCAGTAGCTTCTCTACCCTCGCCAAGGACACTTTCGGGGATACCTGTGGTGCGCGGCTTTTGTTTTTTCTTCTTCTAATTTTCTTCCCTTTTTTCCAAGTGAGATGTGTGTGCGTTTTGGGATGCTTCATGCCAAGCGAGTTGTTGAAGATCGGTTTTTCGTGTGGGGCGATCGGCAAAAAATCGGTAATTTTTCACGATCCCTGATGGTTACTTTACGATCGTCGTTCGGATCGCTATTACTCGTGTAGAGGTATGTGTACCGATTTTTTTTTTTTTTTTTAATTTGAGGACAAATATTTGCGACACACGGCGCAGATAAGATTTCGCGTTGGATAACAAAAGCGAATGATTAACTGCTTATTTCTACACGAGGAATATTTTCGACAAGGCAAGACTGTCTCTTCTCTTCTTCCACCTTCGGCTTCAAAAACAGTCCGCCCTTTTTTGACGTGCCGGTCTTCTCCGGCTTTTTCTCTCGGATGAGCTATTCTCGAACGCATTTCCATCTCAAAAACGTCGGCCGCGATATTGTGCTCGTTTTTTTTTTCCGCGCGTTAACCAACGCTTAGGTACGAAAATAAACTGTACATACGCCGAGCGAAAGTTTTTGTTGTGCCACGTGTCAATATTAATTTTTACATTTTTTTTTTTCCTCCTCGAGTCGTCACCTAGAGCGTCAAAAGAATGTCCTTATCTCTCGTACATTGTCTACGAGACCGATAAGGTAAACGCGTATCACAGCCGCGTGACAAATGTGTGTTTGATCGAGCCGAGAATTTTGATTAAAATTTAATATAAGTGGCTGTCGAAAATTACCGATTTCCGATTTTTCCAACGTCACGCCACGAGATCGCTGGTTTATAAATATCCGCTCGCTCTTCGAAGACAGGCGCTCGATGGATTGGCTGGAGAACGCACGGCGACGACGTGATCTCACATAATACCTACATATGTATACATACTTGGACGCGTTACGCAATCAGCTTGTGTGTATACGTGACGCGTCGCCGATCCAGCCGAGCAACCTTTTTTTCCCATTTATGCTGCACAGCATCCTCGCTTGAGTCTTCTTTTCTTCGATAAAAAAAAAAAAAATTCTTATTCGAATTCGTGGATGGTTATAGGGTTTTCTTTTGACGCGTTAAACCGAGTTTTGTTTTCGTTGTTTGTGGAAGAGAAAAAAAAAAAAACAAGAGAACGAAAAAATAATCGATGCAAGCTATTGTTCCTACAATGTACTTATCAAGGTGTAATGTACCATATATCACTGATATTGCGAGAAATCAGGTGTAAAACAGTAAATGATCGACCAAAAAAAAAAAAAAAATCATCGGATCGTCTTTAAATTTTCTTCCTACCGGTGTATCAGGGTCGGGAATCCACGCAATGCTTTTTCCGAGATAATTAGCACATGGAGAAAATCTCGGCCGAGTAGGACGCGCCGGTCGGCTAAAAATATACCATTTAGCGAAAGAAGAAGAAGAAAGAAAAAAAAGCCGTAAATTTTGCGGAGATAAAAGATGAGATAAAATCATACGCCACAACATTTCTGTACGTACGGATATTAAATTTTACCGTGATTTGGTTTTACTATTGGAGTTTCACATTTACGATTGCCGGTTTACTGAAACACCAAACGTCACTACGAGAAAAACCATGTATATGCACTTGCCGGGATACATTATAGGTGTACGTTATAGTCTCCTTTTCTCCCGCACGTATCCCTAATGGATCTGACCCAATGTCGGCTTCTACAAAAGCGTCGTGCTAATGCATTGAACGACACACTCGCGGTACACGCACACAATGCCTCTATCTTATTTTTTTTTTTTTTTCTTTTTTTTTCCTCCTCACCATGACGCTACATGCAGCGTTCGCATATTACACGGAAGGCCAAAGAGCATGTTTTTTTACACCATGTTTGCATTTTAATTAGCGTCCACTGCTATACTCGATACTTCACGAGAAAAGCTAAATCTCAACCGATCGCCCATTTAAAAATTTTTTTTATTTTTATTCACACTCGGAGGCTGTAAATAAATATCGGTCGCGTATGAACCAGTTGATCGACGAAGCGCGGCTTTCCCCACGTCGTAACGTCAACGTCTCGACGTCGAGTCGATAAATTTCGGAGCTTACGGGGCGCGCGATTTTTCGCGACACTCGTTTGGCTTTCACTGTTTCGGAAAAGGTCCGTTTCGCGGGCGAGCGCGATAAATCCTCGAGGACAGTAATAATCACACACGTTATACAGGTAACGCCCGCTTTCTCGTTTCGGGTGATACGTGACCAACGTGGAGGTATTCCAACGCGAGTGGACATTACATAAAAACGACAAATGGCCACATTACGCACCTACACGCCGTCGCACGACGCAAATAATGGTGCCCGGGTGGGCGTTGTTGTTACTCGAGCACGTGTCAATGCCGCTGCGAAACGATACGATCTATACGTGATTGTAATTTACCTTATTGCCGTGCCTTATTTCTGCACCACTTGTTATTCAAGTGCTGTGTATAATATATAGGTCGTATATTTATGATTTTCAAGAAATTTTCACTTGTATTATACACGTCAGGTCGACAAAATTTAGTGCATTTAGAACAACCCTGTATAGGTATTACATGTATTTGTGTACAGAGTAGACCCTGCAACAACAAGATTACTTTGTATAAAAAATCATGGATACGACAGAGGTATAATGTATATAGGTTTCATTTCCTGAATTTCCTCATTCCCTTGTAACAATGCACGTGCACACATTCTTGCCTCCACTTTTCAAGTAGCTATTACGTATGTATCACGGTAAGCTCGAAAAGACAAAAGAAATCGAGGCACGTAACGTATGCAGAAACTGGACCCCATGATCTTTCATTGATAATCTCGCTTTTCCTCCCCTCTTTCTCGAAAACAAAATAATAATAATACCGTATACCCGTAGAGGCGTACACGCGTTTGTATTTACACACAAAGTATATATGGATATAATATATATGTATATATTCCGGTGTACCGAGTAGCGGCATTGTGAGAGAGAGAGTGGCGCTCCAAAAATGGTAAGTCGCCGCAGAGTGGGCGACGAATCGAGTTGTATGTTCGATGTTATTGTTGTGTGTATATACATTGAGTAACTTAAGTGTAGCGGGGGCGGCCGCTATAGCTGGAGGTAAAAAGATCAGTCGTATACTCAGGTATTTGAGATTATATACATGACAATGCATTTATGCACGAGCCGACCATCCCACGTGAGGTATAGGAGAGTTGCTCGAGGGATTATAACGTTATGGTAATAATTGGTGCTTTAATGCTTATGCGCGTGTTTTGTGTGATATTACACTGTGCGAAAAAAAAAAAAAAAAAAAAAAATTAAATTGGTATGCGTGTATACGTAGGTGTACACGTATGGCACCTTCAAATTATGGAAACGTAGAGTGACGTAGACAGGCGCTTCAGATAATATATATATATACACCCATGAAAAATGAATTACGTGGAAGTATATGATTAAATTGATCTAATGTATGTATAAGTATACTCTTTCGCCCCGCACTCCAGTCTTATCTTCTTTTCTGCATAAAACCATTGAAAACGCGTGAGATGTAAAAAGAAAGAAAGAATTGATACTTAAAACGAATAAACGAACGACAAGCAATCACCATTTGTCGTACTCGTATGTAACTAATGGTTATTTTATCATTGCCGGAGAAAGACATGTAAACCAATCGATCGAGGGGACGTCGACAGCTGCAGTACTCACAAATTATGAATGAATGAATGAGATTTCTGTCCTTTTTTTTTTTTACGATAACTCCACACTGCAAACGCTTTGGCAAAAAAAAGGCGCCTCATCGATCAAAATTAAACGCAAGATTCTTCATTGTGAATAATGCAGTAGTACCCAATAATAAAAAAAAAAAAAAAAAAAAACGCGAAAAATTTATACTCTCCCCTCAAGCACACTTTTATATATATGGGGTCAGTGACACAATAAAAACCCTCAATAAAGTAGAGATCGATCGATAATCACCCTCATTGCTGCTATATATATATATATGTATATATAGGCTATATTAAACGTGTATGTGTACAGCACTAAATAAATAAATATAAATATAAATATATATATGGGTCCCGTGTCAATGTATCACGCAGATGGGCAGCCGGAAGTCCTGCAGCCGTGCGCGGTCTGCGGGCGCAAGTTCAACCCGCGCTCGCTCGACAAGCACGTCAAGATTTGCGAGCGCACGACCACGAAAAAACGCAAGCCCTTCGATTCGGCCAGGCAGCGCATACAGGGCACGGAGCTCGCCGAGTTCCTACCCAAACAGCACCAGCAACAATCTCACGGCCCTGGTGCTGATCACAGCGGCAGAAGCAACAGACACCAGTGCCTACCCACGGGGACGGCCTACCGGAGACCCAGCAACGCTTGGAAGCAGACGCGCGACGAGTTCCTGCGAGCTATTCGCGCGGCACGGGGCGACACTGTGAGTACTATGTATAAGCTGAAGGTTTTTTTCTTTTTTTTTTCTCCCTATACGGTGCCGATTTCGATTGCGGTTATGATCGGCATGAGACCGGGTCGTATGCCGGCATGTTGCATTTTTCCAAGGTCTATTATAAATGTGTGGTAAACGTAATTCCCCATGAACTAATTACAGCACGCCCCACCGCGAGGCCACCACCACCACCACCACCAGCAGCATCAGGCGTCGCCGTACTCGCAGTCTCACGGCTCCGTGCATCAACAGTCAAACTACGGCAGCCAACAGCAGCAGAGTCCAACCGCCGCGGCATCATCCTCCTCCTCCCAGCGGCCATCGACGCTCTCGCTGGTGAAATCGACCATCGGCGCCCCGACGCGCTCCAACGAGAAGGGCCAGTGCCCCACGTGCCAGCGTCAATTCGGCCTCAAGTCGTACGAGCGCCACGTCGCCTTCTGCCGGGAGCGGGCGACCCGACTGCCCGCCAGCCCGCAGACCAGCAACAACGTGGCCAAGGAGAGGCTCGACGCGCGCATGAAGTACCGGGCCCCGGCTCTACGCAACCGCAAGCCGCCCATCACCAACCGCGAGAAGTACTCGCCCGGCGCCGCCGCTCACAGGGTCGCGGCCCGCCAATCCTCCACCTCGCCACCGCCCCCGACCCTCGCGACGATGCACCGGAGTACCGGCAGGGCCCCGACCAAGGACAACCAGGCCCACGACGCCCCACCGCCCAAGTTACCGGCACTGTGAGTATACATATATACCGATCACTGCTTTTTTTTTCTCCCCCCCCCCCCAAGTAACGCTATACGCGTGTACCACCATAATAAATATAATGTAGGCTCGAAAATAAACCGGCGCGCGCGTGACAGAGGAGCACTTAAATCTCCTCCGCCATCTCTCCTATGTGTATATTACACGATGACGATTCAAAAATAAGTATCGCCGAGGTTGTCTCCCCCTGAGAGCCCGCATCTTCCGTACGGCGCTCTCCAAAACGCGGTTCGCGACCCCGCTGGCGCTCGGCCAGCTGCTACTTTCTCGGAAACCCATATACGTGCACACTTCTCTCTTTCTCTGTTCCGTAATTGGTCTAATTTTCGCTCGGGGGTACCAAAAAAAAACAAAAAAAAAACAAAAAACAAAGTCGCCCCGAGCGTTATTTCACCCAATGTATCACGAATATTAATGTATACACCTGTTGTAGATGTTTATATCCCCCCCGCCCCCTTCTTTGATTTCAGCGGCAAACAACGCACCGGCCACCATCAGACATCAAGCAAGGAGTCATCCCCGGCCAACGCCGCTGGTCCGCTAAAGTCGCGACCGGTGGACCGCTCGAACAGGTGAGTGTCGATTGCTAACGTGTGTATATATTATATTATATACTCTTGGTCGGTCGCAAATCCAAGTATGGTCGTGCGTCCCGAGGGAAAATCCGGAGGTAATTCGCGTGACAAAAAAAAAAAAAAAAGGAAAAACCATCCTCTCCCCCCCCCCGCGTAGAACGCCCGACTCGCAGGAGTCCCTGAACCCGCCGGTCCGGCAGCTCTTCACCTCCCGGCGTCTCCAGCTGCTGACCGACGCGATCCCCTCGAGCAAGATCCTCCGGGCGGGTCTCTCGCCGAGCCGCTCCGCCACCTCCTCGCAAAAGTCCTCGGCCCGGCTGGTCACGCGGTTCCTGAAGAAGGCCTTTGCCGAACCCACTGCCCACCACGACGACGACGACGACGACGAGGAAGAGGAAGCCAAGGCGAAGACGAGGAAGAAGCCGCGCAGTCGGCGAAAGGAGGAGGAGGAGGAGGAGGTGCCGGGGAACCGGGACTTTACGACGTGGCGTCAGATCCGCGAGGACGCGCGTCAGAACTGCGAATTGGCCAGCATCGACAAGGAAGAGGAGCCGGCGCTGTCCGACGTGACGGGGCTCTCGAGCCGCAGCTGCGACGATCCCGCCAACTCGACGACCGACGAGTTCGAGTACAACGAGCGGCTTGTCTCGCGCGAGGAAGACGACGGGGAAAAATCGTTGAAAAAAGAAGACATCAGCGACCCTGGTTCGACGAGGACCTTCAGAAAGGAGGAGGAGAGCTGTTGCGTCCAGTTCGTCGATAGCCTCGACTCGTGCCTGTACCAGCGCCGAGCCGAACCCACCCACGACTATGACATCGAGGACACGGACGACGACACCGAGACCCTCAAGAGCTGCAAGATCGACGAGGAGGAGGAGGAGGAGGAGTTGAACTCGGGTAGCAGGAACGAGAGGAGCGAGTCGTTTGCCGCCACCGAGGGGAGCCTCCCGGCCCTCCTGCCGCCGATAAAGTGCCACAGCATGCCCAACATGGGCGCTGGACCTCCGGAGCTGGCTTTTGACGGCTTCCGGAGAAACTACGCCGCGTCGGGGAAGCCCAAGGAAGTAACGGCGTACGCTGGTTTGGGCCATTATCGCCAGCAGAGGTGCGCGACCTACGTGATAGAGGAGCGGTGTCAGCCGGGCCGGCGCCGTCAGAAGCAACACCAGCAGCCCGACGACACTGCCAACGAGTCCTCGGAGGAGAAGCCGCTGAGGAAGCGCCGGAAGCTCCAGTCCGAGGGTAAACGTTGCCGCGTTGGCACGGGGGCGCGAGCGCGACTCGACGAGGACGGCTTGAGCGACGTGTCGAGCGTGAGAACGGACGACCAGCGAGCCATGCTGGTGGAGCTCGACGACGATTTCGGGGCCGACGAGACGGAGAGCAACGCGTCGGAGCTGCTGAGGGAGATAGATGGGGCTCTGAGGACCGGGTACGGGAGCGAGGACTCGCTGCTGGACCTCGTCGGCAGGATGAGGAATATAGAACTGGGCGCGATGACCAGGGACCATGGAAGGAGGAGGAGGAGGTGAGGTGCAGCGAGACGGCTCGTTTGGGATCGAGAAAGAGCTGTTGGTTGCGCTTGGTAGATCGGACGGTGGACAGTTCGCGGGGACGAGGAGCGAGCGGCGATACAGCGAGATCTGCACGGTCACGAGGCTCGACGAGACTCGAGGTGGCGGTGGCTTCTTGCCGAGCATCGGTGCTCCGGGCCAGAGATCGGTGCGGAAGGAGCACCGTCGGAACAAAACGTCTTCGAGGCCGCGTGGGCTGGAGACCCCGAGGGAGGACGACGAGGATGGTTTCGGGGAGGACGAGAGGTTCGCCAAGGCGCGCAGGCATTCGCGATCGGATCGGCGGAGGTTGACTCTTTTTTTTTCCATTCTCTCGTTGTTTTTTCTACAATCGTATACTTCGGGCGGGGGCTATGAGTCGTGCGATGAATGTGATTGTATACGCGCTTGGTATTTGAAAAATCGGTACACGGTATGTGTGCTTTCAAGCCTTCTGCGCAGGAGCTTCGAGCGGCTGCCGCGCTGCGATTGGAACAGCTACGCCAGGAGGCATCCCGACTTTTCGATGATTCTCAGAGGTAGAACGTAAGTGGTTTTTTTTCCCCCTCCCCCTCGACTAGCGCCGTTGACGATTACGCATCCACGCAGATTTTTGTCCGCATTTTTCGTTGCAGCACGCTCTGATTTTTTCGTGTAATATATTATGCACTCCTTGATTGGGAACTTTGTTTTTTTGAAGCACAAACGTTTATTTTTCAGGCACGATAGTGTAGAGAAAAGCGCACTTTATGGTGTATATCGCCCACGCCTTCGATAAAAAATCCCAAATGTTAACAACACGACACACTTGAAACCTTTTTTCAGCGGCACGAGCAAGGACTACGACCCCTTTTTGTTGGCCGAGCAGCAGCTGAACGACCTCTTCTCGGACACGAGCGACCAGTCGTCGACCGACGGCTCCACGGTCTGCCCGCCCTCCTCATCCACCTCCCAAAAGCCAAACTCCAGCCCGAGCTATCAGTCCCCCTCGGCCTTTGCCAAATACCCCAACCCACTCAAATCCCACGCCACTCCCCTGACCAACGACACCAGCAAGCACCCGCAGCAGCAGCGCCGTCTTTCGGTGATCGCGCCCCCCACCGGCTTCAACGACGACCTAACCTCTTCGGACCTCTCGAGCGACTGCACCGAGACGAACGATGGACGGCTCGTCTCTTCCGTGACCTCCGTCTCGGCCGGCATTGGCGCCTCCTCGCGGGAGCTCGGCCGCCGGCTCATCATCGACCAGAGCCTAGCGTTGGGCGGCGGGGAGTTTGCACCCACCGCCGACACCGGTCCGCAATCACAGCAGCCACAAAACGGCCTCGCGCTACCGAACAGAGCCAACTCGTCGAGGCCCGCGGTACCGGCTCGCTCCAACTCCCTACGCTCCTCCGCGGGCGGGGCCCACAAGCCGGCCGGCGAGCGCAAGCTGTCGAGCTCCTCGTCGTCCAGCAGCAGCGGCCACTCGGACTTTGCCCACAGCACCTTGGCCAGCAAGCCCTGCAGCACCATCAAGCCGTCGTGCCGGCCGGCCGGCAACAACACTAGTCACAATCACAAGCCGGCGTCGGCCACTGCGCCGACGCCGAACGGCAGTAATAGCAGTAGCCTCAGTCTGAGCTCGATCATAAGCTGCTCGGACGCGGGGATGATGAAGCGGTCAAACTCGCTGTTCGACGAGCTGCTGCTGCTGAGCTCCTTCGACGATGACCACCATCGCCAGCACAAGCAGCAGCAGCAGCAGCTCGACTCGAGCTCTTCGACGACTCTGCCCTCGCTCATGTCGCTTATGCAGCGTAACGACACTAGTCTCTCTTTGGTGTCCTCTAGCACGTGTACGTCGCAGCGTAACGAGCCCGCGGTCGCTGCTGTGGTGGGTAATGGCCGGGGCACCGTTGTCACCGGCAACAACAGCCGCAACGGGAGCGGGAGGATCAACTGCAGCGACGACGACGCCGAGCTCTCCTCGCCGGAGAGCGTCAAGCGACAGGAGGGCGGAGGGAAGCTCAGCGCCGACTCGGCATACAGCAGGTGAGATCTTTTTTTTTTTTTTTTCCTTGGGGGCTCGAGAAGTTTCCCCCCCCCCCCCACTACAATCATGGAATTCTGTGGAGTGTACAAATTTAGAAGCCCGTTAAATTTGAAAAGAAAATTTACGCGTCATTTTTCAGCAGCGACTGGCTGTATATTTGGTCGAAATGGCACAACAGCGATAAATTACCCTATACATATTATACGGATTAGCAGTTCCAAAACGATCTTCGCTTTCTCGATGAAGCACACAAAATAAACAAAGGCACGATTGCCCGGAATAAAAACGTCAGTGCGTATAAATGTATTTTTGTCTGTTTCATATCCTCCTTTTCGGGACATCCAGCCTAAATCGGAAATACTCGAGCAACGGGCGCAGCGGCAACGACTTGAGCGCCAGCTGCAAGTACAAACTGTCCAAGTTCTGTCACGAGTGCGGCTTCAAGTTCCCGGACTCGGCCAAGTTTTGCTGCGAGTGCGGCGTCAAGCGGCTCACCCTCTGATACACGTGGCCCCGGAGCTTCCTACCGGCCATAGAGGCCAGCGCGAGCGAGAGCCCCTGTCCCTAATGAAGGACGCACTCTGCCATTTTAACGAGAAAAAACTGCCGCTACATGCATCTAGTATTTAGACATACTACGAGGACACTGTTTCGGGGTATTTAGTGTATCCGTAGCTGTCGGTTTTTTTGCCTTTCTTTTTTTCTTATTTTTTTTTTTTTTTACATCAGAGGTGCGTGTGCGTGTATGGATGTAATTTCGATCGATCGGGCCTTTTTGGTGCTCGTTCGGATGACGGTAAATTCGATGGGAGGCCCCGTAGGTTTAATTGACTGTCGCGGTCGTAAAGTACAAATAATACGTGCGAATGAAATTCTTTTTCTTCATCTGTCAAAGTGAGGGAGAATAAGAAAATAACGGCTATTTTTTCTAAAATAGTCAGCAAAACTTGTACACAATGCTTGTGCTTGTAAAAGTGTCTCAGAAAAATTACGCATGTGGCGCGTGTCTGTGTCTGGGCGCAAGCGTTTTTACGTCATCCGATTAGAGCTACGAACGAGCTAATGGCATTTGCGGAGAAACATTTTTATATACTTACGTCGAGTAAATGTGAGCTTGAGCAATAAATTGTTTTTTTTTTTTTGTTTTTTTTTTTCCTTAAGTGTAAGAGTAAATGTCAAAGTGCGCGATTCCTCGTCGATTGTGTCAATTCTTGTTTGTTTTCTAACTCATATGAATATTATACACGTGGCATTTTTTTGGGCGTGCCATATACAAATTTATAATACATATATACATTATTTTTAAGGTTTACCATATAACGACAAAGAGGCGAATATCGTGCTACGCGATCGATCTGTAATGTCTAATATTTTTTACACGCGAAAAAGAAAATTTTTCCAAAAGTGAAAATGAAAATCTTGTACTTTGAGATTTTACCGAGACTAGCGAGTCGATTAACGACTCAGATAGGTTTTATTCGCTAAAAAAAAAAAAAAAAAAAAAGCAAAAGAAATAATCAATGAAAATTTTAACTATTTTTTCAGAGAAAATGTTCCGTTGCTTAATTTGTGCAATACGTGTTTATAAAAAACGCACACGACGCATTTTTGTTGTCTTACCGCCAGTTTATTCTTACGCCAACTCAAATACTTTTTTATACACATTTTTTTTGTTACTATTAATTTTGTTATTAATTATTTTACGATATAAATGGCATTTTTTTAAAAAATACGTGTCACTGTGTCATGTCATTTATTTAAACTGTTTAATAAAATTGTCATTTTGCATCCAAAGTAACAAAGGATAATATGACAATACAATAAAAACTTTTTCAATAGAAATAAAACAAAAATTTTGTACATCTCGGTACTTACAGAGTAACTATCAAAAATTTCGCTGAGCGTTACTTCCTCGACTTTTACATTGGACGTGTGTGACAAGACTGATTATTTGCAGTTATTTATGTATCAGACGAAAAATCACGACATTCAATATTTGTTGCGAGGAATTATTTTATCGCAGAAAATTATTGCTGGAGCCAAAAGAGAGTGAAAAAATGCCAGGACGACACACGAGATCGAAACCTTTTTTTTATTGACGTTTTGCTTGTCAGAATAATACTTTTCTCTTTTTCCTTCAGTAAGAACAATTATTGATCGATGTGTATCATATACAATTATTGTTTTTTTTTTTTTTTTTTCTTTTTGCGAGAGAAACTGTTTCACATATACTGTCAAGTGCATGAAATAGGATAATTTGTATACAATAGTTTATAGCTATCGTAGTTCGATAACACACTAAAAGTACAAGAAAGCTCGTCCCAATAACCAAAAATGTACTCAGCGACTCGGAAGCCAGAGAGTGAGTATAAAGCGATTTTTCTAAATCATCATTTGTACAAGAAAAACCGTGTAAAGTGTATTTTCTTCAAGCGCTAACAAAAGCGAAGTAAAATTAACAAGTACCACCTGCATATACATTATATTGTTTCGTAGCATAGTCTGTGAATTTACCATTGCTGTTTTATTTATCATAATATAACATATACGAATGACGGAGTAACAGTCACACCGCAACCCGTCAAACGAGTCAACGATTCTCTATGCCACACGACGTCTGATTTTACCGATATCAATTGTAATCCAGACGAAATGTATTTTTACAAGTGCAATAAATAATAATAATAAAGAAAAACCATGGCTTGCGTATCAACACACACGCGAAACTCCTTCTTTTGTTTTCTTACGCGTGCAGACAACCCATAACCCCCGTCATACCAACACCTCTTATTTACTTGTAGAGTGGAGTTTAGCTTCTGCAGGACAAAAAGTACATCATGGCAGCGGTCCCAAAGGTGCTCGGGCTGCAAGGATCGACCAACTGGTTTTTTCGCGTAAGACTGCAACGATACCCCACAATTATAAACATGAAAAAACAAAAAAAAAATTGACCACAACATTGAATCCCTGTGTCCTCGTCGCGCCGCCAACGCAGAAGAAACTCGCGCTGCCGGTGATCTCGCGAGCCCTCCACGTGAACGTCAACACCTCGGACAAGGTCAAGTGCAAATCCAACGGCGTAAGCATATTCCTTCCTCCATCACTGCAAAATCGATCAAACGAATATAATAACCTATACACATGTACATGTATATAGAAATACCAAGTGGTGGATCACTGCTACGACGTGGTGGTGGTGGGCGCAGGGGGGGCCGGTCTGAGAGCGGCCTACGGCTTGGGCCAGAAGGGCTTTAGCGTGGCAGTGGTCACGAAGCTGTTCCCCACGAGGTCGCACACGGTCGCGGCCCAGGGTGGCATCAACGCCGCCATCTACTCCCAGGACGACAACTGGCTGTACCACATGTACGACACGGTCAAGGGCTCCGATTGGCTCGGCGACCAGGACTCGATACACTTTCTGACCCGGGAGGCGCCCCAGGCCGTTTACGAGCTCGAAAATTTCGGTACGGTCCAACCATTGGGTGGAGGGGGGGAGGAGAGAGAGAGAGATAAACAATAACCCACTTGTACCGGCAGGTTGTCCGTTCAGCCGGACCAAAGAGGGCAAGATCTACCAGCGAGCCTTCGGGGGTCAGTCCCTGAGGTTCGGCAAAGGTGGCCAGGCCCATCGGTGCTGTTGCGTGGCCGATCGTACCGGCCACTCGGTTCTCCAAACGCTCTACGGCATGTCCCTCAAGTACGACATTGGCTTCTTTGTCGAGTACTTTGCCCTCGACTTGCTGTTTCACGGCAGATGCTGCAAGGGCGTCATCGCCTGGGAGCTCGAGACCGGCTTGATCCACCGTTTTCGTGCCCACCACACGGTATAACCATCGTAAATATTAACACGCAAAGCGCTTCAAGTGTGCGATACGGTGTGGTAATAAGAAAAAAAAAAACAAAAAAACAAAAACAAAAAAAATAATATTTGAAAAAATCAGGTGGTGGCGACGGGTGGCACGGGCCGGTGCTACCAATCGTGCACCGGAGCGCACTCGTGCACCGGTGACGGCTTAGCGATGGCCAGCCGAGCCGGTTTGCCCATTCAAGACATGGAGTTCATCCAGATCCATCCCACCGGTCAGTATTCACGGGGCTGTTTTTTTTTTTTCATCATCCAACGCAGGGTCAATTTTAAGTGAAAGTAATTTCGATTGACCGGTCGCTTACTGTGGCGCACAAACATATACATGTTCCCACGCGTGGGGCAACGTGAGCCTCCGCGTCGATTAATTGACCCCCTTTCTCTTTCTCTCCATTTTTTGCCATAGTATACTTATGTATAGGTATGTATGCGTGTATAAATGTGTGCAAGAGTTTATGACATAAGTCCAGGAGTTAGTTGTTATTGGAGGTGGTTGTCATAATCGTTTTCATGATTTTCCCACGCGCCTATAAACGCCAAAATGATGAAAAAACCAGGCATGTACGGGAGCGGAATCCTGATAACGGAAGGAGTACGGGGCGAGGGTGGAAGACTCATGAATTCGCGGGGCGAGTTTTTCATGGAAAATTACGCTCCGAAAGCCAAGGATCTGGCACCCCGGGACGTCGTCTCCCGCAGCATGACCACGGAAATACACGAGGGAAGGTCAGTGCGTGCGCTTATATAATTGTATATCCTCGCGACGATGGTGTTATTTACGCACGAACAAATGACAGGGGTGTAGGCGAGGACAAGGACCACTTGTACCTGCAGATGCACCACATACCCTTGGAGACGATCCGCTCGAGATTACCGGGCATCTCGGACCTCGCCTCTATCTTTGCGGGCATCAACGTCGAAAGGCAGCCCATACCCGTCATACCGACCGTGCACTTCAATATGGGCGGCATACCAACGAATTACAAGGCTCAGGTGGGTATTACCTCTTTGTTTCTTCTTCTTACACTCCTGCTTCGACGAGTGGACCAAGGTAAGGAAAAACAATACATGGGCAGGTACTGTCGAGGGAGAACGAGGAGGACGTGGTGATCGGCGGGTTGTGGGCGGCTGGGGAGACTGCCTGCGCTTCGGTCCACGGGGCCAATAGACTCGGTGCCAACGCCGTACTGGAGACACTGGTCTTTGGTAAGGCCATCGCCGACAACATTGACTGCCTGATCCGACCTGGCGAGCGACACGACGATCTACCCGCTGTAAGGGGAAATCATTCCTTTTGTAAACGGTTGTAATTATACACACACACACACACACACACACATGTATATATATACGTGTGTTCGAGCAGCACGTCGGGGAAGACGCGCTCTGTCGATTCGACGCGACTCGATACTCCAAGGGCAGTGTACCGGTGGCTAAGCTGAGGGACAAGATGCAGAGGACGATGCAAATGTACTGCACGATGTTGCGCAGGTGTGACATGCTCCAACGTGGCTGTAGGGAGATTACCAAGCTCTACACGTGCGATTTGCCGGACTTGTGCGTACGTGTCGTGAGAGATGTTTTCTTTTTTATTCTGAAAATGATTGACAAAAATAAATTTAGGTCCAAGACAACTCGCTGATCTGGAACACCCACCTGGTCGAGGCTCTGGAGTTGCAAAATCTCATGCTGAACAGCTTGCACATCATCTATTCGGCCGAGAACCGCAAGGAGTCAAGGGGCGCCCACGCGCGGGAAGATTTTAGGGCAAGTGCAGAGTGCGGGATTTTTTTTATTTACACATATTGTCAGTGAACGTACGTATATATTTTTGGTTTTTTCTTTCTCCCGGTTCATCATAAACGAGTAGGAGAGAGTGGACGAGTACGATTACACGAAACCACTCGAGGATCAAAAAAAACGGCCGCTGAGCGAGCACTGGCGCAAGCACACGCTATCCTGGGCTCAAGAGGATGGCTCGGTAATGATTACGTATTATATACTGGTTGACATTACTCGGTTTGGGAGTTCCCTTCAATTGCAAAATACGTTTATACGATTAATAATGTACTTGTATAATTTCGGGACAAAGGTTTTTTTTCCAATTTTGGGGAACTTCCGACTGGAATGGGTCATATGTAACAGAACAAAAAGAGCGCTCTCTACAGAGTAGCGGACACACCTGTCTGACTGTAGATGATGTATGTTATCGACAAACTAATTAGTGTTAAAAGAAGAGAAAAGAAAAAACTAGTGGTTCCAAAAACAAAAAAGTTAAAAGGATCGCTTGTGTCTTTTCGCGTCGACAGATTTGTATTTCTTATCGGCCGGTAATCGACACGACGCTCAATGAGGCGGAAGCTCAACACGTCCCACCGGCGATACGAACTTACTAAACCGCAGACAAGCAGACTCGCTCATGCTTGTATATGTGAACACTGCCAGCAGACTAGCAGAGGTGTATAAGAAAAAAAAAAACAACCGATGAGTTGTTGGACTCGCTAGACGTCGAGGAGCTGAATTAACATAGATTACGTGAACGCGCTTTTTACTTTCATTGTGAAGCGTATGATTTTGTATCAAAGAACCATAGGTTAATTTAGCGAATAAAGTGGAAATAATTTTGTAAATAGACCGTTTATCAATCTGAAGTTGTGCCAAAATAGCCACACCCACCCTTTTTCAAAATATAATTAGCAACTCTTCTTAGAGACCAGTACGTAAGTTATAACACGGCCATGAATAATTATGTTATAAAAATAATGTTCATACAGGTTTCTTATCAAATGACCAATTTCAAAAGAGGTGAATTCTATATGGGGAACTCTGTACAAGTTTGAATTTCCCGCTTTGAGCGTCGCAGTAGTAGCACTTGCAGCATATGACATATCAACCGTACTCTAACCTCTTTGATAAGTCAAAAGAATAAACTTACCTAATTTCTTTTCCTCGAAAGCAGATTGTTGCACACTAAAACAAACCGTGTAACTGGATGCTCGATCAGCTGAATAAAACTTAACACTAATTACGTCTAAAAACAACAATGACGAGATAGACGAACGAACAAGTATCTTCAAGTAGAGACACACTGTCACGAATTCTTCTAAAAAGTAATTTGAAGATTGGCAGAATTGGATTGTCTGCTTATTTTGGTGGACGGTGTTGGGTGTTGCGTGTATTGGCGGTTATAACGCGGCGAGTTTCGTTATCACAGAGCATCACTGCTGCAGGTATAATATCTGTTCTGCTCACGAGTAATAAGCTGGAAAAAAAGAGCAGCAAAGCAATTAGCGCGTAAACTAAGCACAAATAAGAAAAATTGACAAATTGTATCAGTGATCAGTATTTCTTCTATAGCAACGTTACTATATAAATTTCATTGACTATCCGACAAAAATACTCACTAAGATAGTAGGTGTGTATAAATTTATTTGGTGCAAGTCCGCTGCGGGGGCTGCGGGTGGCGTCAAAAACATATACATATATACAACTTTTACCACGAAGAATACGACGTCGTAGTATAGTATACAGCACGTATCCACTCTTTTATACGTCGCCGAGGCGTAGAGACTTGGAATAAAAAGCTCAACGTCACACACGTTGCCGTGCGAGAAGTGCGCGAGGTGTGTGCACGTTCTTCCGGCTTGTGTCCGCTTTTCCCTTTTCCTTCGTTAATGTTATCGTCGTTTCAGTGAGTGTGCACTATCTTTGACTGTGCGTGTGTGTTTTCGTTTTTTTATTTTTTTTTTTTTTTTAACGCAAAAACCTGAAATACATTGTAGTTTGTCTCATCGAGAAATTCCCGAGCAACAATAACAGCTGAAGAAACCCAGGTAGTTTACCTCAAGCCAAGGAGGGACGAGGGGCAAGATGAACGGATTGCTGAGGATATCGAACGTCCTGGCCAAGGGCCTACCCTTGACGACGCTGGTAAACCTTTTTTGCACTTATTTCAAGTATGTATATCGTGCAATTACGTAATTTCCTCGTGCGTCCACGGGGAGCCTCTCTTCGCCTCCCACACGAATGCCGCCGTCTCTCTCTCACTCCCGCATTCCCTGTTATTTTTTTACAACATCACCTTCATTGTTTTCCACTTTGCCACGTTCCATTTAACAGTTGCTTACATCTATATGCCGATTAATTCCGCAAGGGAGTTACGTAAGGTATACATACAGGTACATCCAAATGCAAAAGCAAAAAGGCCCGTTTGACATCATAGCGTGCGCCAAAATTGTTATTCATGCAAAAAATCTGATTACTGGTCTTTTTTTTATCATGCATCCGTCACGTCGTCATCCGATAATCGGTAGAAGTATAGACCTGATGTTTTTGTATTCTCAATAATGACACGAAATAGATGAGGGGTGTGTGAGTGTACTTGTTTACAATCCTCGCGCGTCCCATGATTATTTTTTTCTTTTTCAAGAGACCAGCTGCTCTGCTGCTGGCTGGTTAAGTACATACACGTATATGTACTTGGCTGTGATTTCAGTTGCCTTCAATTTTCTTTCTTCGAGTTTTTTTTTTCTCTTTTTACCATTTTTGTTTTATTGAGCACATTTATAAAGCAAAACTGATAGTTTTTCGGCAATAAGTATATATGTAATATGTGGTTAGTTTATTCACGATGAAATTACATCTATTTGTACCTATGTGACGATTAGATAAACGAATTAGCATTTAAATTTCAAACCAAGTCTCGTGTATTGTGCAATATTGTGAAAATTTATGCAACAAATCTTTCAATGTTATTATTTGACAAACTTATATTATGTAAAATTATATAACAGTTATTTCACAAGCTCTACAACTTAAACAACAAAGTATCACTGATTAAATATTGTAGTTGTATTGTTATTAAACTCTAAAATGTAAATTGATTTACATAATTGATAATTATGATTTAAAAGTACTCTTGAAACACTTTATGTAATACATTGATGCAGCTACTTAACTATCAGTTGTCAGGAATTGCTCAATGTATTCCGTGTTTATTTATGCAGTCGATTATATTTTTCTTAACTCATCCGACACTCTCAAAGACTATGATAAGAACTAACCGACAGCTATTCAATTTAAGCTCTTCCCTTTCAACAATTTTTCCTTCAATTCATCTCCAAGAAACAACTGATTTAATTCAGTTTATCCATAGTTGATTTTCTTTCAATTAAATTGAAAAGAATCCTTATTGCCATTCCTATCAACAACAACAATCATTCTTGACAAAATGTTTGGAATTCCAGAAACAATGTAATATTTACACACAAAAATTTTGGATTTGAGAAGTGATCCAAATGACCAACTGTTTTCTAATGTATGGGGAAAAAAATTTTGTTTATAGAACAAACTAGGCCTACCTATAATCAGTCAGCGTTCTCTACACTACACACCAAATAGTAGTGCTAAGGTATCCGATGGAGTTTCCAAAAATTACCCCCTAGTCGAACATACTTACGATGCAGTGGTTGTGGGTGCTGGTGGTGCTGGTCTGCGAGCGGCTTATGGCCTTGTCGAGGAAGGTTTCAGAACAGCTGTCATCACAAAATTGTTTCCTACAAGATCACATACGGTCGCCGCTCAGGGAGGCATTAACGCGGCGCTTGGTAATATGGAGGATGACAATTGGCAGTGGCACATGTACGATACTGTCAAGGGCTCGGATTGGCTTGGCGATCAAGATGCCATCCACTACATGACCCGAGAGGCCCCCAAAGCTGTCATTGAATTGGAAAATTGCGGCATGCCGTTCAGTCGCACGCAGGACGGTAAGTTAATCAAGAATTTAATGTCGTTGCGGCTTGTAGAGAGCTGTCATCGGCCATTAAGACTTTATTCAATCTCATCGTTGAGTGATTTATTACCTATCAAAGGAAGATACGAATGATCTTTGATCTTTCATTCAAAACAATAATGCGCTTTTATTAATTTTTTGCTCCAAGCTATCAGCGTAATTGGTATGCATATAAAAAAAGTACTTTGCATCTCACGAGCTTCAACATCAAACGTATCTCCCTTTCAAAAGCCAAGAAGATAATTACGAGTCGGTAAAGAAAAAAAAAAATAAAATAAAAAAGAAACATAATTTCTGAGAGCAAAAAATGTTTGTACACAAAACACTTTGGACAGAGTAGTCGAATTTTTTTGTTTTATTATGCTTAAAAACTCTCGGCATCGCTCATCGGGGCAGTGGTCGCAGTATCGGTATCCGAGTCGCTCGTTACTTGAACGAAATAACTATCTGAAGTAGTAGAAGAAGCCTTGACAAGCAAAAAAAAAAAATAATAATAACAAGAGTAAACAACGGTGATCAAGAAAAAATGATGAAAAAAATAAAAAAAAAAAAAAAAAAAAAAAAAAAAAAAAAAAAAGCAAAAGAAATACCTTTGATACTATCAGAGTATTGATCAACAACGCAATTAAAAGCCTTAACATTANAAAAAAAAAAAACAAGAACAAGCCATGCATCACTCACAAGAACAACAATTTGGTTTGGTTATTTTTTTTTACCGGACACAATATAGTAGCAATACTCGTAGTGGTGTTTTATATTATGGTCTTGGGTTATTTTATGAAATTTTTAAACATTATATAGCCAATGATTAATAGGGTGATCACAACCTGGGTCGTCTTCTGGTAGATTTGCTTGCGCTTCGTCTCTGCTTTTCTCTTCGAGACGCGATGCATCCCCGACTTTCTCTGCGTCTGCTGCTGCGACGACTGCGTCGACTCGCCGGATTGACCGATTTTCTGTTGCTTCAAGTGCTTAACCGTATTCGCGGCCTCGACGTACGGCTGCTTCTCCTCGGCCGTCATGGTTTTCCAACGCTGGCCGCAGTATTTGAACAAATTTCTACCCACCAGCCCTCTCGTCTGATCCTGAAATTATTATTATTATTTTTTTTTTTTCTCTTCACATTGTACCACGAAAGTTGCGCATTCTATGGTGACACGTACCTTTCTCGTGTCTTGCATAAAGTTCACGAACGCGTTCGCACTTCGCCAACTCTGTTTCGACCGAGGAGGCTTCTTCTGCGTCTCGTGGGCCGGACTCTTGGTGGGCTCCGTGTTTGGCAGGTTTCTAAAACCAGCGAAGGATAAGGCCAATCTCGCGAACCGTGGTCCCTCGGCGAAACGCCATCAACTCACCTGCTCAGCGATTTCCGAGATCTCGTGCCCGGTCGACTGCTCTCTTGCCGATTTTTCTCTTGGCTGTCGACGGCAGTGCTGAAACGAAACACAAACGAAACACCGGCTCTCAAATGAATCGCGTCGAGGCGACCGGTGATGAAAATTACCTGTTCTGCGACCTCCGGCTCTTCGTGCCGGGACGATTTTCTTGTGGATTTTTCTCGCGATTTCCCTCGTGGTTATCGACGTCCGTGCTAACCTGGGGCATCGCGTCCCTCCGATTTTCGGCCTGATTTTGATACCCGAGGCCCACCGCGTTTGCGTTACTCTCATCCTCTTCTTCGTCCGCGTCCTGGTACTCCTGCTCGTCCTCCTGCTCGTCGTCGCTGTCCCTCAAGCCGTCCACGTTCATGTTTCGTCGTGCGTCGTTTCAAGTGTCAAAGTCAATAATGTGTCGAGGTCTCCGGGAATTTTTATCTTTTTGTTTCTTCACGTCATTGGTAATTAATTGGTCCCGTGGTAATTTTAAGCCGGTGCAGTTTGGTTGGGTACTTGAGTGTCTTTAATGTGGAATTTTGACGTTGAGGAGAAACCAAGAGAAAGAAAGTGCTGATGTAACGAATTTTTTTTCACATATGTACACACTCGCTGTTGGCACGCTGTGCTATTCTTTTGTCACCGAGACTTTTGAAGTTGGCTACCATCGCCCAAACCCTACAATATACCGCCACGCTAGTTTCAAACAAGTAAGGACATTCGATCTTTGTTGCAGGTAAAATCTACCAGCGAGCCTTTGGCGGCCAGTCCCTGAAATTCGGCAAAGGTGGCCAGGCCCATCGGTGCTGTTGCGTGGCCGATCGTACCGGTCACTCGCTCCTCCACACGCTCTACGGGAAATCCCTGAGTTACGACTGCAACTACTTCGTCGAGTACTTTGCCCTCGACTTGATCATGGAGGAAGGCGAGTGCCGGGGTGTGCTTGCCCTGTGTCTGGAGGACGGCACGCTTCACCGGTTCCACGCCAAGAACACCGTCCTCGCGACTGGAGGCTACGGTCGCGCTTACTTCTCGTGTACGTCGGCGCACACCTGCACCGGCGACGGCACTGCCATGGTCTCAAGGGCCGGACTGCCCAATCAGGACCTCGAGTTTGTACAATTCCATCCGACCGGTGAGCCATTTTTTTTCTACTTGTCCATTTCGTTGGAGCATTTTGATAATCGATTGGGCAGGTATTTACGGCGCTGGCTGTCTAATTACCGAGGGGAGCCGAGGCGAGGGTGGCTACTTGGTCAACAGCGAGGGCGAAAGGTTCATGGAACGCTACGCTCCGGTGGCAAAGGATCTCGCGTCGCGAGACGTAGTTTCGAGATCTATGACCATCGAGATTCGAGAGGGCAGGTAGGCAAAATGGATTGGCTTTTTTCGTTTTTGCTTTGAAAGACAAAAAAGTGAATGACGATGAACATTTCGCAGAGGAGTAGGACCAGAAAAAGACCACATCTACCTTCAGCTGCACCATTTGCCACCGGAGCAGTTGGCTGCCAGGCTCCCAGGTATTTCGGAAACTGCTATGATCTTTGCTGGTGTCGACGTCACGCGCGAGCCCATACCTGTGATCCCCACTGTTCACTATAACATGGGTAAGTGGCAATAACGCTCTTCTTGTTGTTCGTCGACTGTTTTTCTTATTTAGTTTATGAGTGATGTCTAAGGTGGCGTACCCACAAACTACAGAGGACAAGTTCTGACATCCAAGAACAACCAAGACGTTGTTGTTCCTGGCTTGTATGCATGCGGGGAGTCTGCTTGCGCGTCTGTCCACGGGGCTAATCGACTGGGTGCTAACTCGCTACTCGATTTGGTCGTGTTCGGCAGAGCTTGCGCCAAAACGATCGCCGAAGAGAATAAGCCCGGCGAAAAGATCGGTACCATTAGACCTGTTAGTTTGATTTGAATACGTTCTTACCGAATTATTGTGAAATCTTTGTGAAACGCATATAATTATTTTTTTAAGGATGCTGGAGAGGAATCGGTGGCGAATCTTGATCGAATAAGGTATGCGAACGGAAACGTTACAACTGCTGAATTAAGACTGAACATGCAGAAGACCATGCAAACTCATGCCGCGGTCTTTAGGCAGGCTGATACTTTACAAGAAGGTAACGAGTATTTTTCATCATTTTTAAGAGCTTGGTTTAGAACTTTTATTAATGTTTTAGGGTGCAAAAAGATGTCGTCTTTGTACAAAAAATTGGACGACTTGATGGTCGTTGACAGATCGATGATTTGGAATTCAGATTTAGTTGAAACCCTCGAGCTGCAAAATTTGATGCTCAACGCGATGCAAACCATCTACGCGGCCGAAAATCGTAAAGAGAGTCGTGGGGCTCATGCCCGGGAGGACTTTAAAGATCGAATTGACGAATACGACTACAGCAAACCCCTTGAGGGGCAGGTAGCGAAACCTGTGGATCAACACTGGCGAAAGCATACTCTCACAGATATTGACATCAAGACTGGAGATGTTAGTTTTAATTTCTAATGAATGAAATCTTTCATCTATCCATTGTACAAATCTAACAAACATTTTATTTTTCAGGTTAAAATCCACTACAGGGGTGTCATTGACCATACTCTTGACTCTAAGGAATGCGCCACTGTACCACCCGCGATTCGTTCCTATTAAGCTAATTATGTGAGGATTATCTTGAATGTAGTTTTTCACTTTCATGAGCTGATAATTTGGTTAAGTAATTAAAAAAAAAAAAAAAAAAAAAAAAAAAAAAAAAAAAAAANATAGATTGTACGTATCTGTTTTTCTCGAATAAAAAAAAAAAAAAAAAAAAAAAAAAATCGAAAAGAAAAATAAGAAAAACGATGGGAATGAGTCTCGATAGTTACCCAATTATTTACAAAATAATTAATCCCAGTAAACAGATTCTAATCAAATAATCCAAATCTATAAAAACCTATCTATGCCCCTCTCAACTAAGATGTCACGTTAAATATTAATTGTTTTCCTTTGCTGGTGCTGAGAGAAATACTCGCGGCGATAGACACCAAAATTCGGTGCAAAGTCGAACGATTATTTATACACATCTTTGAAATCTAGCCTTACTTTACCAGATAATAATAGAATAATATTACAGCAATCTTATAAGGAATTTGATATGAAGCTTTATATCTTATATAGATATTGAATTTTGAAGTCAAAGTAAAAACTGAAAATTTGTAAATCGTTAAATCCATGTAAATTAAGTAGAAACCCCTTAAAAGATTGTCAGTAAGATGCACAACTTGTAATGCATTAAGCAGAGCGGCTTTTACTTAAATGTCTCCAAGAAAGTAAGCTAAAAGATCGTGAAAAGTATGGTAGGATCTATATTAATAAAAAAAAAATATTGTTTTGGCTGCAACGTTTACTGCAACCATTGTAAATAAATATCTGTAATTCATGAGGAATTTTTTTTTATGTGTCAAAGAAGTCACAAGTTTTTAAAAATTTTTATGAAATTGTCACTATTGTCATCAAATTTTATTTATTTTACTTTATCAATCATTGTAAAAGCCAATTATATGAGCCAATATTAGAAATATAATAATCACTGTAAGCGCTCATGGGCAATATTTTTAAGTTTTATTTTACTTTTCAAACATTTTGAATTTTTATCTGTAATAAGTCGTAAAAAGAAACGAAGAACACATCGATATTTTCTAACATCCCACAACTTAAGTCTGCATATATTTTATGCAGCTAGTTATTATGTGTTAAAAAAATGTATAATAAATTATTTTCGTTGCAACCTTCTTGTTAATTGAATAAAACTTAAGTGACGACATAAACACGAACTTAGTTTTCATTCATATATACTTTTGAACCATCCTCTTTGATAGTGTAAACAGATTACAGTGTATCATGAAATACGTGCGTATGTGATGAAAAATTTTGTTGATAATGAAAAACAAGACAAAATAATTTCCTCATTCACTTATTTTTTTTGAAATGTAATTGAATAAAAAAAAAAAAAATAAAGAATACACATGATTTAAAATGTACTTTAGACAAGTAGGATTTATTGAGCCCAATTTTCAATAGTATTCGGTTATAAATAAAATCTTACAACTGTATTTAATGGTAAAAATTACAATCAGAAATACATTTTTCATAGCATCAAATTAAAATTCGCTTCAAGAGTTAATACTTCAGGAAACTTTTTTTTTTTTTTTTACAACAATAAAATTCTGTTTAAAACTAAAATGACGAACGAGATGAACGACTACATATATGAATCTATAAGGTAAATAATATGTACGAAAGAAAAACGCTCTTTTTACGTAAAAAAAAAAAAAAAAAAAAAAAAAATGACATGGATAAATTACAATAAGATACATGTGTACATGATACCTCGGGTTTTCTTCCATCAGAGAATTGTGCACGAAGGCTTCACGATGACATAAATGCTTTCCTTTTAAGTCATTTCTTTAATAATTCTGTTTGTTTGTTTTTTTTTTTTTTCGCTCGATGAACTACACACAACACTTAAGTCGACATTTCGTTATAGGTTGTTACGTTATTAATTTTTTTCTAGATGCTCAAGAGGTCCAACAATCTCGTAACCAATGCGTTTCGGAAAAACAGAAAAGTGTTTGTACTTTGTACACTATTTTACAATTGGTTTCGCCTCTTTACATATCCTTTTTTTTTCAAACATATATACGTATGTTTCGTACAAAAATTTCCAGGAAGTACATTTACATGATGAGGTACAACGGATCAGCCGAAAAAATATTATTAAAAAATAGTCAGAAACAGCATATCAGTGTTATCGGGAAAACAGACCTCTGTGTCAGCAGATATTAGTCTTATCGGTTTCAATTAGCCTAATAATGTATATTCACAAAACATACAAACGAGTCCCGTCTCCGCAGCGTCCGCGTCGATGAAATCGATTCTCGCTCGAAGTGTAAGTCTCTTACTTTATTTTTATTTATTTACTTCTTATTATTACTAAAACGCGCTACTATAGATTTTAATATTGATTTTTTTTTCTTTTTTTTTTTTTTTTTTCAGTGGACACGATTTAAAACAGACAGTTTTCCATTTCCTTCTAACTGAAGGTGTAAAAAAAAAAAAAAAAAATTTCTCTTGAATCTACACCTATTGTAGTACAATAACAATAATAATAATAATTTAAAAAACAAAACCGTTTCTCGAGACATGCGAATTTCATCTTCCGTGTGAACTTTATTGACTATCATTGATCGAGAGTATCAGCAACCGCACAACCCTTGGGTTTTTTTGACTGTTTGAAGAACGAAATTCTCAAGAGTTTTTTTGTTTTGCTCCTGTGTCCTCTCTTTTCAAAAACGCTGTTGCACGCGACGTAGGAGTATTTTCGATTTAGTTGCGCAAAAGATGAAAGGGAAAGGAGAGTAGAAACGAAGGTAGAGGAGTGAAGTTAACAAAAAATTAAAAATCAATCAACCATCGAACGGGTGTTGACGCTGTGACGCAAACCGAATTGACTACAAGGAAATTGTACAGTCACGCGGTCTCTTTTTTAAAAATCTTTTCTTCAAGGTACGCAAGTTCAACTCCTATACGCATCTGCAAAAAAAAGTTTCGAATGGCGAATATGAGATGTAATTTAAAGCTCACTTTTTCGGGCGTCAAAACAAAATCTAGCAGTTATTTTCCACACATTTCAGCCAACGGTATACAATTGTACGAAGATCGATTTTTACAATTATTTCACACAATGCGAGCTCCTCACTGTCCCCATGGACGAAGCAAACTCGCGCAGCTTTTGATTTTTTTCTATCTTTATTGATACTTTGTAAAGATAACGCGGTAAACATCATTAACAATATATACGTAATAACGATGACGGTACAGTTGTTTTTCTCGAATAAAAAAAAAAAAAAAAAAAAAAAAAAGACCGCGGGTGACGATATGCTTTATTATACAATACGAGCGCGTGCTTGTAGGTTTTTTTTTTTTCCAATTATTTGAACGAAAAATGAAAATTGCACCACACGACAATCCCTCTTTCTTTGAACTTGTTGGCCAGTAATTACTTTTATTCGAGAGAAAAAATTCTCAGCCAAACTTTCGACGAAAAAGAAAGAGAGAGAGAGAGAGAGAGAGAGAGAAAACACAATCACTCGCACAACCCGCCAAACATACATTTTACACGATACGGTGAAGATGCAGTTTTGCGTAAGATAATGCACAACGTACGCATTTTACCAGTACATATTTATAATATATGAATATATAATTAAGTATACGTGTAATGATGACAACGATGATAAAACATAATCTGAACGGCCTGTATGTATGAACGTATTGTGATATAATATATTATTAAGTCTTGTGCACGGTTTAGCTGCTGCTGGCACCTGTACTCCTCCCGATGGTCATCCTCTACGACGACGGCGACGCGGACGCGGGCGTGACAAATGTCGACGTGGCCGACGACTGCTGCTCCCTAGTGATCGATGAGCCGGGGTCGTCGGCGGCAATGTTGTCGCGGGTGGGTTCCGGGCTCACTCACGAGGTTGCCCTCAGCTTTTCGAGGGCCGGCACCAATGACTCCTCGAGCGCGGGACCGCAACTCAGGCCACACTCACCGATCCATCTGGCCTTGCCGCTCGCGTGGGACTGCAAAATTCATTATTGTTATTATTACCATCATCGCACCTTTGTCCCTTATCGTTGTATCGACAAATGAGCCAATTGGAGCGCAATGGAAGGGGCTCATCTATTTATATTTTGTTGTTGTTGTTGTTGTTGTTGTGTATTGCCCCTTTCACGGGATTATCGGTAAAGTTCGAGGTCAGCCCGTGCATTCATAGGTATACATACTTATTTAATCAAGCGCTCGAAACTGAAATGATATACCAATTACAGTATAGGTATCATCGAAGCTTAGACCTTCAACTTTACCGATTTCCCAAGAGCCGGCTTATCGGGAGACTATATGTATATAATGTCGCTCCCGTGTGTGTGCGTGTGTCCAGTGCAAATAAATTTACTCACCATCGTAATGTCTCGCTTCCAGACGGTGTGGCAGCGGCCATCGCAGAGCGGACAGGGCCGCTGAAGGGAGTAACCACCGCACTCGCTGCAGTCCAACGACACGTGCTCCTCGCTCCACGAGACTCCGCATCTATGGACAGAAAAACAAATAAATAAATAAATAACCAGATGTCGTTAAACGCGAATCACCTCCATTTAAAGCGCAAAAGTATACATACATTGGAGGGATGTGGGGGGGCATTGGGAATGATAATTACGGGCGAGAAGGATTTTCCGTTTCAACGATCGATCGGCGTTTGTTTTACATTATGTATATTTCTTACTACACCGGGAACTGCCGCGACGCGATTGATCGCTGGTTTCACGTAACAATGGTCTCTTACGCGCACGGGTTTTTTCAAGCTTTCCGAGGTAAAAGTGTGCCTGTACATCGGTTGGGCGTCACAGGTGTGGGAGGTGGTGATTTTTACCCGGTCAAACCACGGTTCGAGTCACTTTTGCGCTTCTGGTGACTCTTTTGCATCTGTATATGCTCCACTAAGGCTTTTTTTCTTTTTTCAAGTTGCAATGTCCAAAACGCGATTTAATGACCATGACGTCAACGGCACAATGATGGAAGAAAGAGGAGAAGGGAAAAAAACGCTGGGGGGAAAAAGCTTCGAAAGAAAACAATGTACCGGATCGCGCTGGTTTCGATTGTTGCTTCGAAGCCCGTGTGTGTATACGCGTGTACCAAAGAGAGGCGCCAACGAATTGCGTAATTACAGAGGGAAAGATGTATGCCCCGACATCAAAGTGGAACGAAGACGCCGGCTGTGTATACCGTATAGACACGAGAGCTATTCGTCATTCGATCGCGTCTGTATGGCCATCAAACGCATTCCTGACCCTTTTTTTTTCTACTTCTTACTCGTTGGTCTATAATGTATGGTTTGTCATCTTGGAAAAACACATGGGCCACCAGCAGATACATTTTTTGGTATGCAGGAGCTCATCTCGATTTGCATCTCTAAGTGAGCCAAAAAATTGACTCCACATATCATAAAAAAAAAAAAGTACAACAATGGATTCTCGAAGAAAATCGGACCCCTTACGAAGACGGAGGAGCTGCAATCTTCTCGGAATCTTTGATTGCAAAGTGAAAATGGAGCATCTTTACCTCGAAAAGAGCCCCGTTGCGATTTAATTACCCGCGCAAAGTTTACCAGCTCCAACGTAGGAGGAAGGCCATACTATTATCCGTTGGTATACTCTCATCTCCCTCCTTGGCTTTTGGGTTCTAGGAAGCGAAGAAGACGGCAAACAATGTTGTACGCGTAGGTATATCCATGTCTTTATGTAATAACACGCTACGAAAACGTGCGACCATTACACGTATATACAATAATGTGTGTATCGCATGGAATAAGAATTAGAATAATTCTAATTTAGACTTGAAAAGGACTGCCTTAAGTGCAGTCGAAACGTCGTCAACTGAATAAAAGACTGGACAGTAAGCCCTTGGAGTTTATTAATTCTTCGTATCATTTTCACTGTTCTTGGAGTCCTCTTATTAAGAATTAGAATGTTGTTTAATCCACGATGGACTTGTAAACGAGATTAAACAACAAGTGAAAGACAAAAATAAACGTGATGTTGAACAACAATATATTATCCCCCTTGAAGGTGGAGTGTGACACGTATAGGTACATTTAATAAGCACAATTTGAAAGTATCGCGTGTCTCATGTAGCGCATTGGAAGCTGTAGTGTGGGTCGTTGAGCCCACGCTCGTTTCGCGAAAACAACTTGAATTGAATTGTTAAGCGTGGGTGCGTGGCATGTGTGTCCGCGTTTCTGGTTTCGGGGAAATGTCTTTTTTTTTTTTTTTTTTTTTTTTTTTTTGATCCCTGGGTTCGACATACAACAAGCATATACTCACGAGAAGCAAGAGTTGAGCTGGGCGCGCAGTTCCTCGATCGTCATGATTGTGTCCTGGTACTGAGGATGCGAGCCTAACGATTCCTCGATGCTGCCGCAGGTACTGTGGCAGGAGAGGGAGATGTTGCTCCTGAAATCAAAAGGAAAACCTCGTGTTGATTCTTCGCCTCGTTTTGCTTTATACGATCATTCGCCAACAACGACAAAAAGAGGTAACGTCGGCGACGAGCCTATCCTTTTACTCTGATGCACGGCTCAACCGATTGTCACGTTGTTACCGAACCACGTACGTCAGCTACCAACAAAATCACTCCTGACGCTTATATACATGTGTATAATTATACACACCCGATAACGACTCAACTATTGTTTGTACATGTATACCCTTTTTCCCCCTTCTTTTTCTCTTGAAACTCAAAAACCATAGGATTCTAATCGGTATCAATTTATCACCCCTCTAATGAGCCTCATCATCGCGATCGCGATCTTAGCTCATTAAAAAAAAAAAGAATAAAAGATCCAGCAGGTGCAAAATGCAAAAAAAAAAAAAGAAAAAAAACAGTGGTACAAGATATCACGTTGCAAAAAAAAAAAAAAAAAAAAATCCACACACATTGCGTTACGTAAACACATCCGCTCAGCGCCCCACTAACTGGTTCTTTTCGGCGATCGATCGTTTAGTCACTCATCTTATAAGGTAAGTGCAGTTTTTAAAATCTATTTGGGTAAATATTTCCATGTCGTTATAGCGATAAACCCGCGAAATTCGGGGTATTGCGCGAAATTTCGAAATCAAATATTAGAGCTCGGAGCTATTTTAAAGTGAAACGTGTAGGTAAAGTGGATTAATTGCCGTTCTTGGTCATCCGTCATCCCGATGGCAGCGGCGCGATACAAGCAGCTGTCGTGTCTTTTGCCCGCCCGTGGCTGTACGCCACGTGTGTATGTGTGTAGATGCTTTTTTATTATTGTCACGTGTACCTGTACTCGACGTACGTATATACATATTTTATTTACCCGCAAAGACCAAGGTTACCCGGAAAATTTAGTGAAAACCAAATTGAGTGTATCATACCGTATCAAATTTACATTCAGAGGGTCCGTTTGTGCAATTAGTTTTAGTTTTGCAACAACGAACAATTGAAAATCTCCAATAAATCATCCCATCCGATTCACCCTCATTGTACACGCAAACCCGAGTATATAGGGGGTTGGGCCACGGACCTTCTTGTGTGTGCACCCACCCAACAACGGCGTCACACTTTGCATCGTGTGGATATCGTCATGCATCAAGCCTTGAACTTGGAAAGGAGGTGGAGGAGAAATCGAGAATCTTCTCCCGCGAGACACACTACTACACAGCTGTACACGTGAAAATGCAAATTTCAAGCGTCAGCTTCGTGCATGTACCCAACTACATAAATGTATAGAGCCAAACCTCTTGCACGCAAAACTACTTACGTTACGTATATGTACGTGTATTCGTATTACGCTCCAACACGCGGTCACGTGCATGTGGCTTAACTAGGATGGCGTAAAGTCGTTACACGTGCCACTTGCGTTGAAGAAAAAAAAAAGAAAAAAAAAAAAAGTGTATAGTGTATGATGAAAAAAGAAAAAAAGGTAGAGATAAAAGAGTGAGAGAAAACGCATACTGGCTCGCGCGACAATCTTTCCTGCACCCGTGATTTGTGCATACTTATACTGTTCTTAAACTTATACTTATCCGAGATACACATGTAACGTGAATTATCATGCGATCTGCCGATTTTCCGCGTTGCAATACAGACTAAGATCTATTTTTTTTTTTTTTTTTTTTTGTTAACTGAAAATATCGCCGATAACTGCAAAAGTCTGGTGCAAAGGAGAAAGGATTCTTGTCTTTGACGTATACATTCATTTTCTAATCCCCGTCGCGGCGCGAAAATCGTTTGTAATCGGATAACGTCGGGGCATTTTGGCACGTGTACTGTGCCCCACGTACCTATACCTACATACATGTAACCCTCGCAAAATAAATTGGTGTTTCGGGTGCTCTTGAACCTGACATTCAAACGAACGTACATACACGCGTCTTTATCCTCTTCTTATTTTTATTGTGTCATTATGCAACTAACCAAGTAACAAGCCGCGATTTATTAACGATTTTTTTTCTTTTTTTTTTTTTTTCCTTCAGTAATGTTTGTTCACGTCTCTTTGATTTTCAAGCGGGTCCCGATGTAAAAAACCGTAGTATATAAATGTGCACGATTTTGGTGAACTCAATCAATCGACTGCGATCGGTACTGATTCAATCATGGGTCCCTATTGGATGCCATCGCAACTCTAATCTTTCCAAAGCGATAAGGTTATCTATCAGTGTACCGCCCGCTTTTACAGATACACCGTATGAATAAATAAATCACAATAAATCGCGCTCGACGCGTCTACTTGCAAGTTATACGTATAGCGTCGACGACGTAACAGCCGATCCGCACACGATCTTTCGTAACTTCATCGTTGCGAAACGCGCGTACAGCGAGTGACAAAAATCTCTCGCGTGGCGGGGTATGTTGAGCGGTTTCGTTGGCAATTTTTATGATATCCTCGCGATTGCTCGACCTTGTCGTTTTTAGTGGCCGGAAGTGGATTTGTTTGTTTGTTTGTTTGTATTTGTTGCAAGTAGATCCTTTAGCACGGTAGGAAGCAGCGCAACAACGAAAAGTCCCCCGGTGACATCTATTCTGTACGATTCATTTCCGCGTAATGCAGAAAAAAAAACGAAGATTCAAGATTCACTTCCTGCGAATCGTTGAGTAGAAGAAAAAAAAAAAAAAAGAAAAAAATGTGCTTTTCATTGTTCTTTTTCTCCTTGTACTTCCACGCTCTGTCGCGGGTATGTTATTTCACGGATACGCAGATGCATCCCTTGTCTTTCCAATCGATTCCTGATGGGAATTAATAATTAATAATGGATCTTCTATATGTATATACTAGCAAACAAATATATGCAATTTGCGCTGTTCTGATTTTAAAATCAAAGAGAGAGATGGAGCATGTCGCGCACAAGCATCGCATTTGCAAACGACACTTAGTCATCCGCGTGCATTTATACACCTGTGTACAATAGTGCGAGCGAATCATCCTGAAAAAAGACCCGATTGAAATTTCAAACGCGTCGTGCGCTTGTATCCCCGTATATATAAGTGTAACAAAGTAAAGCGTACCTACTACTCGGATGTTTATGTATGTATATAACTATATATGCGTATACACTTTTTTGTTCGTCCTCTATTGTTAGTCCAAGATATACTGCGTGGCTTGATTTAGAAATAATATAATATGCTTATACTCGAGTATAGCGCGCGTTTCAGTTGAACATGAGTTTCTATATTTAGGCACCCGCGAGGTGCAGAATTGTATGGGTAAAGGTTGAAAAGGAAACGGTTCTATTTTAACGGTGCGTAGTCGTATACGTCTATTAAATAAAAGGGTTACTATCGCACATGAGTTGAAATGACGTTTTTTTTTTCGTTTTTTTTTTTTTTTAAATACATCAATTCATCGCTGCGAAAGAATTAATGGAATTTCACTCTAATGAGATTTTTTTTGACAAAAAAAAAACAACAGAATATGCATATTCAATTTCAAAGCAAGAAATTCAATTTCATTGCCAACAGCGAGAAAGACTGTAATAATTCAAATATACGTGTATACACACATATATATGTGTATAGCAGCATCAGCAGCGTAGGTAACTATACAGTACGGATGGCAGCTCACGAACTGCGTGTAATAGATTGAGGAAAAGATAGTAATCGGCGTAATTAGTTTCGTGTGAAACTTACCCGTGACGAGAGAGATTTTCAGTGGTCGTTTGAAAGGTCGTGGCCGACATGTTGTTTCCGCGTGCGCCTGTAACATAAACAACAATACGAACAAACATTAATCATATTTTCTCTACCTCTACATGATGCATGACAACAGTAACAGTTATTCGGTTTAATTGTATTGATGGTTCGATACTCGCACTCCAGCAGTACCGACAAAAACACAATTGTCAGTGTCTTTTGTATACGTATGAAGCGGGTGAGGATTTTCCAATGGGTTATCGCATAGATTAGTTGCTTCTGCACTGTGAAATCCAAGTGTGTTATTAACACGTTTGAAGCGTGTCATCGAAATTTTCGTTTTTATAAAATGCATCTTATAATATTTCTTATTAATATTTAAAGGAAAACCAAATCGATGCTTCGTAAACTATTTCACCTATTCTATATTAAACTAAGCTATTGTTTTTCTTTAACGATTGACATAAAATGGCTGTAGAGAGTAAAACAACTGACAGCCTAATCTTTTTACTCCACAGCTTTTCTACATTGGTATTGGACTGGTTAACCACTTGGTGCACCATAGCTTTGATTTTTCTTAAAATTCTTATCCACGGCACCACGATGTGCTTGATAAAAAACAAAAATTGTAACTACACACTTTAAACCGTGTAATTTAGCATTGCTTGGATTTACGGTGTGGTAGAAAATATATTTCAAAAGTTACAATACTTTATTGAACAAAGAAATCACGTGAGCTTCCGTTATCAGAACTTTCATGCGTTTTTCTATTTTTTTTTTTCTACTTTTTTTTGTGGCTCCATCTCAATTCCCTCAAAAATAAGATAATGCTGGTGCCTCTGGCCATTTTACACGCCGGTGAGCTTATCAGGGGACACTATACATGCCGATAAAAGTTATCTCTGATGCGCTAGACGATCGGTCGAAGGTCGTCGAGCAAGGACCAGCTATTCCGAGAAAAAAGGCAAAGTCCTGCTCGCGGCTAAATCAGACAGCCGAAGACAGCGTCGAAGCTTTTATTTTTATCATGATGGGACTTGGCACCGGTGGGGAGACTCGCGGCCGGAAACGGTGTTTTTTGTACTTGAATTACATATACATACTTACCCAATCCCGAAAGAAAAGTGTACCAGAGGCCCGCGAATTCGTACTCGGATAGTACGGTAGGATTAGTAAAAATGAATGGCATTTTAGATAGTTGTAGAGTAGATATAGACGAAGCGAAATACGTTTGAAAAATGTACCTATGTTGGCTAACAACTTTTTTATGACCATTTTTCGAGAGGACCTTTTTTCGGTTTTTGCTCCGGTTCGCGAAAAGTTTAAAGCCGATTAAGTTGAAATTTTGTGCGTATGGTAAGGGCTATGATATCTGTCTTGTATTAAAATTTCAGCTCTAAATATTTTATAGAATGCGAGTTATTGAATTTCGAAAAAATGGCTCAAAGTGACAGTTTTTTGCGATTTGTGAAAAAACGGCTAAATCCAACTGAACCCAACGCGGCTCATTTTGTTCGTCTTAAAATTGTACATCTTTTTCACGCAACACTTTTTTATGTACGATCCTTCGGTTTTCTTCTAGACGCGAAAAACATGTATTGGCCATTTTTTGGGGGGCTTTTGCTGACATTTCTACTTGTTAAATTCCATTTGAAACTACTACCCATCAATATTTTTTCGAGCTAGTCAGAATTTCGGGAATATCGTTATGCTTTTTAGCTAATTCTACCATACTAAGACCCTCGAACGTCATTTTTGTATGCGTGCGTACGCGCATACACACGCCAATATATATACAATGTAGTGTCTGTACGATGTGACGTGCAATCGAGCCTTTGAAAGGAAGAGAGAGAGAAAGGTCATCGATTTTACGCGAAAATATAAGAGGTAGCCCCTTTCGGGTCGACGTGCATATATATATATATATAGTATGACAAGGAGAAGAAGAACTGATGCATCAAGGTCATCGTATATATACATACGCTGTTTTCTTTTGTCCATTGGCGTGCCGACTGGAGTTGAGACGCGATTTATTACACACGATATCACCATCATCTTTGCCGATGATGCGAGTTATGTGCCAACTCATAATTTAAATGGGCACCTGAATGGGCGCGCGAATTCGGTATATTTCATAAGTGTCGATATAATATATGTACACAAATTATACCCGAGTCCTTGGCCAAGAAATTCATTCTCGGTAGGTATAAATGCAGAATATAAGCGTTGCCGCAGCATCGAGTCGCAAACAGTTTGTGCGTTGCATATACGTATACACAAGGAACTTGCTCAGGTATACTTTCTCTCCACGATCAAAACGAAAGATGCTGGCCTGGCGCTCTCTCGTATAGGTTTCCCATCGGCCAAGATACAACGCGTTACACCTTTTGCCCGTGAAAGTTCGAGGTATGCGCGCACTCAAGTGCAAAAACAACGTACGTGTGCAGAGAGGCCTCTGGGTTTATTATGCCACGTACCCTCAAAACCGAGGGACATTGGACGTTTTTGTTTGTTTCTGTCGAGCCATTGTGATTTATTGCAACTTTGCGGGTACGATAGGGTCGTTAAATATATTTGACTCCTGGCCAACCCTTGGAACCGAATAAAAAGAAAATCCCCTTTCCTCCGAGCACTCGTATACGTATATATAGTTATTGGAAACAAATGGGGCCCCTCCCGATAACCCTCCGAGATAAATATTGCATTTTTTTAAGCGCAAGGGACAAACAAAATTTCGCCACAAGCGATGAAAAAAGAAGAAGAAGAAAAAAAAAGTTGTCCACCGATGCGTTGGATATTTACATAAGAGGAAGAGAGGATGTACCAGCTTGCAGTGACTCCTAGTGGCTCTCCAAGTTCCTCGACCCTGAGCCCGAATCCGAGCGCGGCCGCGTCTATTTTTAGCTGTAACCACGGCAGATAATTATATATATTATATATATGTATATACACATGTATGTGCCGACGGCTCTTTTGGATCACAATAGCGGGGGATTATAAATGACGGTCACTCATATCCGAGAGGATACGTTGTAAGCGGAGGAAAAAACAAAACAAAAAAAAAAAAAAAAGCAAACTTACTGTTGGTCGTATTGGATACCCCGTGATATTGTAAGATAAAAAGAAAAGAGAAATAAGTATGTAGGTACATCAAAACTGTTATTTGTACAGTTTAGAAAGTACGCGAACGCCTGTATGGTATATATGTAACGCGTGCGTAAACGCATAGACCAGAAAACCAAGTGGGCATGTATATATGTTTTATTTTTTTCCACTATCTCTTTCCAAAGAGGCGTCGGGCTGGCGCCACCGGCAAGGCCCCTCGTTGGGTAATCGTGAAAAATGCGGCCACTGACAAGCACGAATATCATATAGTTATACATACACAGGCGCGCTCTCAATCCAGCACTTGTGTGAAAAAAAAAAAAAAAAGAGGAGGAGGCCTCTTCCCTTCAACAAACGTTATTAGAGGTGGCAATATAATGATTACGATGGCCAAGAGGGAAAATAACAAGTATTTATTTCTTACACCTGCGCGTCGCGTGTAAATACAACGCGAGAAAAGGAGGTCAGCTCGATGTGCGTTTCAATTGAGGATAATCAGTATATATACACATACGCACTGGCCAATGAAGCAGAGTTACTTGCCTCGGCACCTATACATCATTTATGTATAAAGCAATAACATTGAGCAGAGAGAGAGAGAGAACCTCTGCAGCAACATAACGGCACCAATGGCAAAACGGTTACGACGAGACCGCAGAGGAGAGACGCGAGATAGAATGTCAAGGACTTCTTCTTCTTTTCTTGAAGTGCGGAGGTACTCTTACTACAGGTATCGGCGGTACATACATCGCAGGAAACCAACGGAGTTTTACTGCGCGTCGGGGGTGCTGTTTTTAAAATCATCCCTTTGTATCCTTTCCTATATTATTAGTGTACCTCTGTAATCCTGTCTCTTTCTGTAAATCCCTACAATATTCTCACCCAAACACCAACAGCCACAAGGTGCAACTAGAATAAATATATCTGTATTATCTCCTCCTCCGAATGACAAGGGAGGCTTTCGCTTGACAACGAACGGTTTGTTTTACTCGTTGAATTTTCGATGAAATCCTGGCTCGTATAGGTATACATGTATGTACAATGCGCGGGATAAGCGTTGCTGCTAAATATCAAATGGAGCTTCTACGATCGTTCGCGCGTGGGTGTAGGTAAAAAATCGATTGGCGCGAGTATAGGCATCGGAGAAAAGAAAAAGGGAAAGTGAAAGTCATCAGACACTCCACGTAAACACAAACAAGCGTATGACGCAAATTACGAGATAGGGGTAAGTGTACATATTTCCGTGGTCTGCCCTATTACCGTGCATTTACAAAAATGCTGTTTAATTTTTGAAAAAGTGTAATAGCGGTCGCAAAAAAATTATTTGATATTAATATCCAAGAATAGCTCAAATTAGGATAAAAATGTAATATTTGTATGATTAATTTATAGAGAAAATCATATTTATGCACGGTATTAGGTACCAAGAGTATGTTAGACGGTCGTGTACGTATTACCGTGGTGAAGCCTGTGATTGAGACATCCACGGTAATATGTACACGGTAATAGGTACATGACCACGGTAATACCTGCATACTATTTTTGTTAATTTTAATAATAATCCATTCAACTTTTAGTCTCGAAAAAAATTTTTAAATAATCTTTAAGAGCTTATGCAAGACTTAAGAAAAAAATCCATAGGATTTTGTCATTACTCAATATTTTATGGTGCATTTAATTTGGATTTCTTAACATACGCCACGGAAATAGGTACACTTACCCCTAATCTATACATACAACAACTGTAAACGAGTTGCGTTGGGAAAATTTTTCCCCGCATCTCCATTGAAGCACTTGCCGAAAGCTTACGGGATCGTCTTTGCGTTGCAGGGACGATCGACAGGTGCATATAGCGGGTGTGTGTAATACCCTGCACTTGGCTTCCCGAAATTTTCCTTAGCTCCCGTATCGACCAATCGGCTGACGTCAATCGCAACGCATTACCGGTCGATTGTTTTG